CAAGTCCAGTTGCCCACAATATAGCACTTACAGTATGAATGTGGGCCAGGGGCATAATTTTGGGGGGGCAGTGGCCGCTTCCCTAATTCCTAGCCCCGTACTTCTGGTGTCCTTCCTCGAACTACTTCTATCCCAATAGAAAAAAATGATTTTCAGTGATTTCATTTCCTGCATTCTGGTGACATTTAAACAGTATTTTTCTGTTAAACGATTTTAACTTTACTTTTGACTCTCAGAAAAGTGTACAGAATAATTCAATATAAGAGACGGGAAATCTTCTTCGTCTAATATTTGCTTGAGTATTTCTTTCTCCCACTGGCAAATAAATAGGCCACTACATTTTTGAGATGTTGCTGCTGCTCATCCTCAAAAGCAGACAAACCCTTCAACAGCATGATGTATATCCAGTATATTAGGGAGTAGTTGTGCTCACTTGTACAGCATCATATATTTAACTTAAGATTTTTAACTAAAGCTTTGTAAATCAATCTGTCTTCTTCTTTAATTCTCAGAGTTTGTGCGGATGATGTCTCGATGAGCTCCTGACAGAGAGTCGACATGTTCAAACACAACATGGATGCTCTGTTGGTGTGGAAGGAAGAGGAGAGAGACCCACACAGAGTACCGACGGATCTTGAACTTCTGAACTGTCAATGAACGAGAAAACAAAAACATATCAACCCTGTCCTGAAACTGCCACACTGAAGCACAAAGGCTGACGACGACAGCCGGGAGCAACACTGTTGATTACATGCTGCTGCTGTTTCTTAGAACATAAACACAACCAACAGCTGCGTTTCTGACTTTTACAAAGTATATTTTTTAAAGAAGCCTATTTTCCTTAACAACAGAATACACAATAACTAATCAATAATAATATTTCTAAGGCTGATGTGGCTGTTGATTTAATGGTTAATGGGACGTTTGAGTCAGTTTGCTCAACACCATGTTAATAACTGTAGCAATTAAGAAGACATATTTTCGACTGCAGCAGTATGCCAGCAAACACCCAAACCAATACAGCACCTTCTGCTCTAAAGCTGAGGACAGCTTAAGCAAAAATATAATATGGCAATATGGAAATACTTCATGTGATCCTGTCAAAGCTGTGTGTTTGTGTTTTGTGCATACTGTTGTTTCTCCCCTCTCTGTACTGTAGGTTTATTACATCCACTGAGACTATTGTCAAACCCTGGTTAAGACAAGCCAGTATTTGTTTCGTAATTATGTGTAATGTAGCACTGACACAGTTCTTCAGACTTAAACAACATTACGCCTATCTTACTGTGATATATATGTGATCTTCAGTGTGCATAAGACTCCTTCACCTGCAAAAATATGGAAGGAAATTCTCTGTAGTTACAGTGCTAATCTTGACTACTGTGATAAGCCTTTTTTAATTACATGTATGTTTTATTAATTCTGTATATTACTTTGCATGAATACACACAGAGTTTGACAGATCACCACGATGACAGGTGATCAACAGAGCGTATTTATGAAAAGAGAGCCTTTTTTTTTTTTGCTTTAATTTATCAGAGAGCTTTCATAAATGTACGTGTTTATTGGGGTTTTGTGAGTCTACCGAGTCTACAGAACAGTCCTGAAGTGATTTTCACTTTGGTGCAACATTTACTCTTTTAACTTTAATACCTCAAGATGGATTGAACAATCAACCTCATCCATAAACTGCCCCTTGCATAAGCTCAAACACAAATTTCTTTACCCTCTTACCTTCATATCTATATTTATAAAGAAGCAGCGTTAGCTCCTTTGTGGAAAAAAAAAACCAAAGAAAGTTTACAGAAATATTATTTGAGTCGTGTATAGTTGGTGTACGCGGTGTGTTTTAGAAATATGATCAACATGGCTGCTTGAAACGCCCTTACTGGTTCGCGGGGCAGCTAAATTGCTGGTTGACTGTTCATAAATGGACACAGGGGTACAGTATATGCATGCTATAAAGTTGAGATATTCTTCCAAAGGGAAATCTTACTTTGTGATTTTACTTGTCTTAACTGTGTGAAACTATGCATGCAAGAAACAACTGACATTTGTAGCAGAATATATATGAAAATAAAGGTTTTTATTGGAACTTGAGCACAGAAGAGATGTCTGTAAATTACTGTGTGTCTGTGGGGAGTCTTTTCTTTGTGGGGACATTTGCGTTCAAAAGCTTGTCCCCATAATATCAACCAAACCTTTAAAATTTCAGTATAAAGACTGGGTTGCAGGTGTCCATTAATTTCCAGTATTGGGCATAAAAAAGTCTAAAAAAGGTTAATGAAAAACTCAATTGTGTGGTTTTAACTCTACCACAGCAGGCTCATGGGAGAATTGAGCAATATTAGACACCACTTCTTAAGAAGATCAAAATAAACTTGACCCTCACCTGACAATATTTGGATTGATGGAAAAAATTAAGTTCCTCAAATCCAGCGAAGTCTGAGGTAAGACAGAATCTAGTCTGATGTTGTGTTTCAAAAGCCAAAATGGGCTTGAACAAACATTTGAGTATGGTTTATCAAACTGAATAATTTCCTAAAATGTGGACTGAGGCTCATAACAACAAATAAAGATGGGGACAAATACAATACTGACATTTACAGAAATCTGTTTAAGTAGCACACTGGCGAGTCTTCTGTAAACACACAGGCTTTTCTCGACTCACTAATTATGCAGCGTAAAAGCCAACTTGGCTTTTAACGGAAACAGCAGTGCATCTTCTTCAGTGTCTTGTAAAATTCAAATGCATTTTTCAGTGTGAATAAAATATTTATCAGAGAGGATAAAACTTATAATAGCAAACAGGCAGCGTACACAGTGACAGCAAAGGTTTCAAGATTAAGAATCAGAATCAAGGCAGTCCAATTGTCTCATACCAGGTTTCAATGAATTGATTACAGGAACAGGGAGGCACAGTGGTACAGTGGTTAGCATTGTTGCCTCACAGCAAGTGGGTTCCCAGTTCAAATCCAGGGTGATCGTTTGAGCCCTGCTGTGCTGAGTCTGCATGTTCTCTCTGTGTCAGCATGGGTTTTCTCTGGGTACTCCAGCTTCCTCCCACAGTCCAAAGACATGCAGGTTAACTGGTGACTCTAAATTGTCCGTAGGTGTGAATGGTTGTCTGTCTCTATGTGTCAGCCCTGTGTTTGTCTGGCGACCTGTCCAGTTCTGGACACACTATATTAATTTGTTGTTAGAAGTGTAACTATTCAGTGTGTTAATTATTTTAGCTAAGAGTGTGTTTTTTATACAATTGGTACAACAATAGCCCGTAACAGATATTATGCAACACCAATAGATACATTATTGAAAAAAAAAAATGTATTCCAAGATGCTTTTAAATCAATTTAATATTTTATATACATCCTGCTAACTCACAGTAAATCTTAATAATGCACAAATAAAAAACAATTTACTGCAGTTATAATGATCCCAGACAGGGAGTCTTGCACACTTGGTTAAAAATTTAAAAATTCCTAATCTACTCCAACAAAATGTCCTTGTTACTGTTTACTCTGCAGCCCACATGAAGAAAACATTGTAGCCCACATTTTAGTTGTTTTAATTTGGGTGCAGTAGACAAATTTCTTTGTAAGTTTACCACATAAGTAGCAGCCTGGCAGTGGGCACATTGTACTGTAACACATTGTACATTACACTGTAATTGTGGGAGGGAATGCCTCCCACAATATAAACTACTATTATTGTTTGCTTTCCTTTGGTACCCATTTTCAGCATTTTTAACCATTAGTGGGGTGAAGTCAGGTAATTTAAGATATCAGGTTAGAAAGGGACAAATAAGCTTTTACATCTTGGGCTTGTATATTAGCAGCCAGTCGCCAAAGATGTTATTGAGTTGGTGCCACAAATGTGCTTCACATGAACACTTTTACTGGTCTTAGATATGGGAACAAAGAACAGAACAAAGTAAAAAAAATCACTGCTCCTAGAACTTGCAAGGAAAGCCATGTGGCATGTTGATTTTCTCATTTTGGTAACAAGAGTTCTGCAGCTACAACAATAAGGGGATAACAATGAAATGGTTGTAGGATGATGCATTTTATTAAATGTTCGCTTTATAATCAAAATACTTTCACGATACACTAATCATTTTATGGGAAAAGGCTTTGAGTGAGTACTTTATGCATTCAGGTAAAATGAGACATAAAATGAAGCTAAAAAGTGAAAAAAAAATTCTGAAGTGAAACCAACATGTTTTGGGGATATCAGGTGCCATAAAGTTATAACTTGTTATTTTTCAATTCAATTCAGTCAATTTATGATCAATTATTGTGTGGAACCCTGTAATATTACAGACATTTTTAGTATTTTTGTCACTTAAAAAAATCACTGATGTTGCAGTGAGTCCATATCAGCCACAATACCACAGAATTACACACATGTAAGCCCACACACACACGTCCACTGTAGACAGTATGGCAACAAGAAGACCTGCAGAAAATGGCCAGGGAAAGCATAAAGAAAAGTTGTGCAGTGTTTTCTAATTAATAGTTAGGTTACATTAATGATTTTAATGAATTAATGACTGAACAAACAAACATAAGTGTCCAATTTTATCTGGGTTTGAAGGTCCAAAGTTGATCATTTTACCTATAACGTAACATATTTTCCTTATATAAATAGAACCGAGATCTATAACAAGTTCTAAAAGTAACACTTGAGGTAGTCCTCAGAATTTTAGATGGTTTTCTTGATGATCTAAAATAAAGTGATTCAAATGACCTGACTTCACCTCAGGCCTATTGATGGATGGAGCTACTACAGTATATGATAACAAAAATGGTAGTTCCTCATGTTGTCATTCTCCAGTGTGAACACATTAAACACAGTTAATGTCAGTACATCTAATTCAGACAAAGTTTTGACTAATTTTGAACCACTTCACTGTAATCAGATTTACTATTTAAGTTTCAAGTCCCGCCCACAGTGCAGTGACAGCGGCCCTCATTGGCCATCTGTTGCCATGGCGACTCACTACAACGCTGCCTGTCGTTGTATTTAGCATGTTGCTAACAGCCTCTAAAGCCAGCACCAATGGCCAGCACAGTGTCAGAGAATCCTTGTATTGTCCAGATGGAGGACTACCTCACCATCTGTCACCTTGGTCCTCCTCCGGCACACGACCAGCGTTAAATCCGGAGGACGCCACGATGAGAGCCGTTAGCCGTGGGTCAAAAGTTAGCTTTATTAGCCTAGCAGCGCCCTTGTAAGCTAATTAGCATGTTACAAACCAAACTTATTGAGACTTCCTAATATCAATAACCACCAGAGGGGTAAGTTTATGTGTCCAATTAATGTTACAGGGTGCTAGTACTGTATACAGGTGATAAACGTTAAGCATGGGAGACAATTGAATAGTTGATGTTATCTATAATTTAACGTTACGCAGTGTGTAGTGTTAAAGCATTGTTGCTAGATATCAGTGAAGCTACATAATGACCACTTACTGTAGGCTATTTATTTAACTTTAAATAATGTTGTTGTCCCTTAACGTTAAATTAAACTACTGTAACTTCATTATTGTAAATTACTGTATTTTCCTGGTCTTATAAATTAGTTTGCTAAGTTATAAGTTTGAATTGCTAACTATTACAGAGCTAGCTGCCATTACTGAACATTTTTGTGTCCCTTCAATTACATCACCTGCTGTAAGGTTTTAGTGATATTGCACCTGTCATTCATGCTTGACACAAACCAGGGACAGCTGTATTCTTACATTTAATTTCATCACTCAATTTATAGATATTGACAATATTTCATACCTTAACTACACAGCTAGACAAGATGTTAGCCAGCCAATAGGTAAACTGAAGCTCTTGGTGGATAACTCAGAAATGATGTACTCATTGTCACTTCATCAGATTCTTTTTCTGTCAGCTTACATCAGAGTTATACCAGTTTTTCCTGCAAAAAGGCAACGGCTGTCAATTAAGCAGCTACTGCCTCATTGTTGAAAAGCTGGAATAACTCTTATGCATGCTGTCACAGGAAAGTCAGTGAAGTCAAGTTATTTTGCACCCTGAGAAAACTCATCCTTGTGGGGAAGTATTGCACTTTAACTGTATTTTTCATTAATAACCTTCAGTAAGAGAAGTTCCCCAACAACAGTAGACCACTCCGTTCTAACAGCACACCGTCCAGTGGAGGGATACCCAGGAAATAACTCTATATTAGCGTTAAACTGTAGCCCAGGATGCTTGATTATAGATAATATGTCAGTTTGATAATGATTTATGTGTGAAAATATGTGGGTGGATGTCTAGACCACTTACCTTAAAGGAAATGCAGTGAATTATAAAGTTTGTACTTTTTCTAATGACATGATTGTGATATTTTCTATTGTCTTTGTCAAACGCAGACAGTGAGTCAGTCCTGATTTCAGTGTTGACTTTAGACACAGACTCTTCAAACAGACCAGAAGACTTGCCTTAAAGCTGTGGGTTTCGCCGTGGCGTGCTGCCTCTTTGCTCCCTGAGTCTCTTCGGCTGTTGAGCAGCATGACTTGGTTTACATTTTCTGCTGACAGTCTGCTGTGCAGGTGTCTTGGCATCGCCATCACTGTGTGGTTTACTCTTCTGTTTGTCTTCACAATCGTGCCAGCTGTACTTGGAGTCTCTTTTGGTATCCGAAGAGTCTACATGACGACACTTCTCAAGGTCTTTGAGGTGAGTCTTTGTACAATGTGCAGTATTATTAGAGGGGTACAAAATCAAATTCTTTGTGTTTTAATGTTGTTGAACAAGGGGTTTGATGAACAGAAAATGTTTGTTTATTCATTGTGCAACATTTTGGAACAAGTATCTTACCTCTGAACTGCTGCAGTCATATACTCTTAGCATTTAAAACACTAGTACAGTTTGCAAAAAAAATATTTGGCAAGTTTAATCTCACTGATTTTAAATGTAAAAACAAAAATGCATTCCCCATTGGATGCGGCCCCTGGGTTTTCCAAGCTCAGGGGGACTGATAGAGGCACAAGCCATGTTCCTGCCTCCCTTTCCTCTGGGACTTGGATTTTGGGACAGACTCCAGGGAGGAACAAGCTTTTAGCCATGGGACTACCATCTGAGGTGGTAAAGATACAGAAGGGAGCTCAGACTCCTGGGATGGAGTTTATCTGCTGACATAGTTGGAGGATTTTTGAGATGTGGTAGAGTTATCACAAAGCAAATCTCACAAGCTCAGCTTCTGTGGCCCTACAGTTTCTGTTGGAGTTGCTAGAGCTCCCCTCCTACACTCAGGATAATGGAGATTGGACAAATAGGGACATACTCTGTTGACCGAGCAGGTTTGCAAACTGCTTTTCCAACCTGATGGTTGTAGTACAGTTGAAGGCAGCTGTTGTAAGGCAATTTTACCACTCTTTGAGCCCCTGGAGCTGGTCAATCTGAAGTAGCTGTCAGTCAAGACTGTCTTTCTGCTGGATTTTGCCAGGAGGTGAGGATGAGCTGCAGGCTCTCTTGAGGCTTATGATGGATCAAGGTATAGGGGTGGTTGTGCAGCCAAATCTGACATTTCCTCCAAAGATCTTCTCTGGCTTTACTTTCTGCTTTGTCCACTCATATTTCTGACATTGAACCTGGCAGAAAGCAGACCTACAATACAATGGTTTCAACCCAGAGACCTTAAAGTCCAGGCTTTCCCACTGGACTCAAGAGGTTTTACAGAAGATAGATATGGAGCTGGTATTCCACTGCCTTCGTTAATGACCAAATTCTACCTGTGATAGGGCAGCATCATTGCATTCTGCTGACATATGTGGTATTGCTACATAGTCTGTACCACCCACATGATTCTGCTATCTTAATGTAGCTCTGAGTACCTCCTACAGGTGCTTCCTGGATGGACAACAGGAAGTTTTGTGCCTGGCAGGCTGGCTTTAGTGGCTTATCTACACTGCCAAATCAGCCTTGGTATTTTGCAAGGCTGGTAAGCCTTTGGTAGTGACAGTCATGGCCTCATTCAGCAGGTCTGGGAGTACTTGTTGGTGTAGGAGTGTGTATGTAGTGTACAATTGTGAGTGGTTTGTTTTTTTTCATGAGCTACAGCCCTGCTGGAGTGCACATTTGTGCTTTATTTAGAGAACACACCAGGCGATGGTTTTTTAAATTTCCCCTCTGCAGGTCTAGGTGGCACAGATGCCTGATCCATCAAGAGTGTGACCTATTTATGCTTGAGTAAGTCAGACAAAGGCTTTCAAACTGAAACTGGACCAGAATAGTGTTGTATGTTTCTGCAGTTTCCCTGCATTGTTTTCTCAACTGCAAGCTTCTAAGGAAAAGATGTTCTGTTTTGCAGAGCTGTCTCTCTGCCTCCAGGGAACATGTTGCCTAATTTCATAACTCTGATAATATCACAGTCTATGCTGCCCATATCCTTTTTGAGCCTGTAACCTTGAATGCAATTTGGAGGCCTGCAGTGCTTACTAATGTCTGTACAATTTTATAGCTGCTAGTCAGCTGTAGCATAACGGAATTAAGGTCTTACTCTGATCTGTATGTCGAACATTACAGCAAACAACGAAAGCATAATCGTTAATCTTGTTTCTTTCTTAATATTTTTCCTACTTTAATCAGTGGGCAACCATACGAATGGAGATGGGAGCAAAGGAAAAGAACCAGGAACTCTATAAACCCTACAGCAATGGTAAATGAGTCACATCTTAATATTCCTCAGTCATGAATGCTTGCTGCACCTGCATTATTTTGACTATTAACTCAAATGCATGTTTTTCTTTTTTTTGTTTTCATTGAAGGAATCATTGCCAAGGAACCACCATCATCTTTGCAGCAGGAGATCCAGGAGCTCCGGGGTTCTGCCAGCTGCCTGCGCTCAGAGCCGGAGTTTGAAATGGCTGACATATTCTACTTCTGTCGGAGAGGTGTGGAGAGCATCGTGGATGACGAGGTGACCAAGCGCTTTTCGGCCCAGGAACTGCAGAGCTGGAACTTGCTGACTCGAAGCAACTACAACTTCCGACATATCAGTCTGAGAGTTACTGTCCTGTGGGGACTAGGGGTCCTCATCCGCTACGTCATCCTGCTGCCCCTCAGGTCAGAGCAGCACACAGGCAGGTTATGTGGTTGAGGCACATTTTGTAGAACAAAAGCTGCGAATGAGTGAACAACTTGTTCAGTCTTGAGTAAACTATATGTTCTTGTTTCTGCAGGGTTACTCTGGCAGTCACTGGCATTAGTCTGCTTCTAGTCCTGACTACGTTCGTGGCCTTTTTACCAAATAAAGAGTAAGTTTCCCCAAAATCTCAGAACAGTTCAAGCATACAGGTGAAGATAGATCCTTATAACAAAAGTAGATATATGATCAAAAGCTACAAGACTGGCTCAGTATACACCTTGTTTTTTAGCCTCAATTTAACCTTGAATTGTCCATTTTTAAGGGTACTGGAGTAATTATTGTTGCATTATGCTGTATGTCTTCAGTTTAAGGTTCTACCTGAGTGAGAAGGTTCATCTGATGTGTTACCGCATCTGTGTGAGAGCTCTCACAGCAATCATCACGTATCATAACAGGTACAGTATGTTTAATAGTCAGAAACAAAGTCACCTTCCAAAGAGAGAGAGAGTGTATAGTTACCTCTTTCAGGAATGGATATTTGCCAGTCAGTCTTTCCTGTCACCAAATTGTGTGACTTAAACAACCTTGTTTAATTTCAGAGAGAACAAACCAAAGAATGGCGGTATCTGTGTGGCCAATCACACAACACCCATTGATGTCATCATCTTAGCCAACGATGGCTGCTACTCTATGGTAAGTTTATTTGTCTCTGTGTTTCTGTGAATGAGTGTGTGTTTGTTCATCAGAAGAATGAATGATTGTGAAAAATCAGGATTGATGTTTTTGAGTTGAAGTTGAGTTAGCCTTGTCTCTCAGGTTGGCCAGGTGCATGGAGGGTTGATGGGAATGATCCAGCGAGCCATGGTCAAATCCTCTCCGCACATCTGGTTTGAAAGATCAGAAGTCAAAGACAGACATCTAGTGGCCAAAAGGTAACAATACATCTTCACAGTGTTGGCATTGCTCATGTCTCCAGTTAAAGTATCCTCCTGAGACTCTTTTGTTTGGGATGCATTTTTAATTTCTCCAAGCTATTTGGGATCAGTAGGACCTGATAAGTATAAAAACTAAACATTGTCAACAGTAATTTAGTCCCAGTGTCCTCAAACAAGATAATAATAAAATCCTAATGTGTCCTAACCAGTACTTCCTAATTGACAGTGCCTCAGCTTGTTGCTGTTGCTAAAATTGGTCAAATTTGTTGCCGTATCAAACTACAAACATTCTTAATCATAAATAAACATGTTTCAACCATTAAATGTCATAAGGTTTTGTCCCTTGTCCGCTTTTGTGTCGATATCAGCTGTAGCTGACTTGGCAGAGATGGCTGCCATCTTGTTTTTACACGGATTAGTGTACTGTGCTCTTACTAGCACTGAATGGCACAGAAAATGTCCACAAATAAGGACAACAAGCCTAAGTTAAGCAGAATGAAGTGTAAGGTCAAGTTAACTCAAAATGTGATGTCATATGAGGACACAGGATCTCAGCAGGGTATGGTCAGTCCTGCTGCTGTGCAACCACTTATCAATTAGGAATTTCAGCTCAGTGTGCACTGAATCATGGTACACTTTGTTCACCTCTGAATATGTTTGTATATATCTTACTGTGACTGGGTGTCACAACACTTGGTGCATTTGGTTTACAGTCAAGTTTAAATGATGGCTAAAATACGAAGTTGTGGTTAAAACATGTAACTGTGGCCCAGACACATTTGTTACATTTTGACTAAAAGGTTAGCTTGCAGTTAAAGTTTAATTCAAGATATTTTGTTACTAGTTGGCCGCCACAGTTTTTTCCTGTGAGAAAACGGCCTATTTCACATTATGTCCCTCACCAGAGGGAATGTTTATTGGTCCGCAGTGCATTCTGGTCGATGTAGGTTTTCTGCATCTTGAGCCAAAGCAAATACCACAGTCCTTTTCCTGTGTGTGTTGCATCTGTCAAGTGTTTGCATCTGTCTGCTGTGTAGACAGCCTAGTTTAATGCAAAGACCATTTTCCAGCTGTGAAATACTTTTTTAAAACATAAGGTTCAACCACTTCGCACACACATTATAGAAATGTGTTTTTGTTATGGTTAAGGCCTCGTGACACATAATACACTGGTCACTTGAATAGCAACGCTGTGAGAAGATTACTCTGACAACAGTCATATTCTTGTGTCCTTGCTCTAAACATGTGTTACAAGAAACCCCAATGTTTTCTCAGTTAAGGACACATCAGTATGTGTGTATGGTTGGCAACAAACAATGAACTTGACAGTGAGCACTGCCTGAAATAAAACTGGTATAGCCTGTAGGAGCTTGTTGATAGAACTTGCATTTATAAGCGTTGGAAGGAAGTATATAACAACAGTTCATGTGACTTGTGATCACTTATTTATATTTTAACTTGACAAAGACTATGGATATTAAATATTATAATGGTTTGGTTTTGCTGTACAAGTAGTAGTTTAGATTGAACATTATTTGATTTCTAGAAGTGAGGCTAATGGCTAGATTTAAAAATACATGCATATATTTTGATCACTTCTTCTTTGTCATTGCAGGCTAAGTGATCATGTTGCTGACAAAACTAAGCAGCCCATCCTGATCTTCCCTGAGGGTGTGTATGGTGATATAATAGTTTTAAACACAGGTGCAGAGCACGTAAGGCTTGTTGTTTAGCGTTGATAAGAGCTTCACACTGTGTCTTCCACAGGTACTTGCATCAACAACACATCTGTGATGATGTTCAAAAAGGGCAGCTTTGAAATTGCCTGTACAGTGTATCCAGTTGCCATCAAGGTATAGAAACTTTGTTTTGTCTTTTTCCTCCTTTTTCCTCATTTTGCTTTTATCTATTCTTGATTTGACCCTATGTCTTTCTTGCAGTATGATCCTCGGTTTGGGGATGCTTTCTGGAACAGCAGTAAGTTTGGCATGGTGAATTATCTGCTGAGGATGATGAGCAGCTGGGCCATTGTCTGCAGTGTTTGGTACCTGCCGCCCATGAACAAAAAGGTGAAAGTCTTTATCACAACTTTGAATGTATCACCAAAATCAGTGATACAACTTTCAGCTCATCTGTTGTTTATTCTATCCACTGGAGGACTTTTTCCACCTTTTCTCAGCCTGTTCTTTTTTTATTGTCTTTATGTAGGAAGGAGAGGATGCGGTGCAGTTTGCCAACAGGGTGAAAGCAGCCATAGCTGCACAAGGAGGATTAGTGGATCTCATTTGGTGAGCCATTAGCCAAGTTTTCATTCAAATGTAGCACAAATGTTAATAGAATTTTCAGATAATCTGCAAAAGAAATTACAAATGTATGCACGTTTCTATTCTCTACTGTTATGAGAATATTAGGAGTTAGTTCATGGAAATATTCTCTAGTCAGGTGCCGTTAAACTGTTGAGGAAGAACAGGGTGTAAAAACATGACGTAATCAAGAGAACGCCAGCCAAATCTCAAATGGTGAAAAAAAAAGTCATGAAATGAGTCAATAAAACTGTATGTTTATTGCTGCTAAAAGAGAGGTTGCCAGGAACATAAAACGCAGACGCTGTCTCACAAAATGCATCATTACTGGCTTTTAGCTTTGACAGAAATTGTGCAGTGTCATACCCGGAAGATAATTCATGTTTCATTATGTCCTTCAGTGGTTTGTATAAGACACTGATGACACTGTGTTTGACTCTCTTTTCCTTCCTTACCTCTGTTCTCTCAGGGACGGAGGACTGAAACGAGCAAAAGTGAAAGATGCTTTTAAAGAAGAGCAGCAGAAGCTTTACAGTAAAGTTCTTGTAGGTGAGCAGGACGAGGGGGACCAAAGTGACAACACACATTTAGAGGATGGGAATCCAGAGGAGGATAAAAACAAATAAGACTCAAGAAAAGGACAATGAGGACGCAGTGAATGTATGATGTCGTAAATACAGAATCTTACATAATAGTGAATGTGAATTATCAGAAGTAGAAATGTATATTTATGGTCAGTGTAACTGTGTCATTTCTACCAGACTATGAGTGAAAGTATTTATGTTTTGATATTTATGTTTTTGTCTGTGTAAAATCTTTATTTATTTACATTTGTATGATGTGAAATTAGGAGAATGGGTACACTTACAGTACAGGAAGGTCAAACAAATGCTCATAGGTCACTTTTTTCAATTGTTCATAGATGAAATTCTTATAGTGACTTTTGTTCTGCCTCCTTTTCACTGCCCAGGAGCTTGATATGTGTCTGATTAAAACACATTCTCTTCTAAAAACGCTGAACTTTTTGTAAAGAATTTAGAATTATTTCAGAAAATCTGTTAAAGCTGGGGTAGGCAGAATTTAAGGGTACTTTCACACCTACCCTGTTTGGTTCGGTATAATTGAACTCAAGTTCGTTTGCCCCCTAAATTCGGTTCATTTGGGCAGGTGTGAACACAGCAAACACTGGACCGAGACCTTCTTGAAGGGGTGGTCTCTGTCCGGTTTCAAACGAACTGTGGTGCGGTTTGTTTGTGGTGAGAACGTGTTCCGACCTCGATCCGAACCAGCTGCAGTCACATTACGCATTGTTTGGGTTAAACATGAGCATGTTACAGTCCTGGAGGATTATTAATGTGCACCTCCTCCTTTACTTCCTTAATATGCACATTCAGCACATTTAATGCATCAAAACATTGTTTTCTAGTTGGAGCCGCGCCTCGTTTTCAAACTGTATGGTTTGACTAAAATGAACAATGACAGCAATATAGTCCACGATGAGCAACACTAAAATCAACCTGCGTAGCTGTGACATTAGAAAGTGTCGCCTTTATTTTGCAAGTGTACTCTTCTTCAATGTTTTGTTTATTTCCTAGATTTTTCCCGTATGGATATTCGGACCAATCAAGAGCAGCTTTCTGGAGCAAGGCATTTGATCTGGTCTGCTTGTAAATGCTGCCGTGAAAACACAAACCAACTCTAGGCAATTATGCAAATTTGTAACAAAATTAGTCCCTGATTCAGACCAAAGCAAGACAACTCTAGGTCTGAAAGCACCCTAAAAATACACCCTCCTCCTGCAGCTCTCCCCTCCCTGTCCTAAGCCCCTCCACCCCGATGACCATGGGCATATGAACACGCTTCAAAGAGTAACCCAGTGTTTCCTGTGCAATGATTTATTACATCTTATTTCACTGTAGAGCTGCACACAGTGCTCTTTTTCTCTCTCTCAGATGACACACTGTGATTCAAGGCTCTCTAACATCAGCTACATAAATGTGAACTTGAAATTTGAGGCTTTGGCTGCAATTAGCTGAAGGCCAAACTAAACATTCCTCTCCATCTCTGTGATGCTTTGTCGATATAGACGTGTTTTATTATGTCAGACTAGAAAAGCCAAGGGGAACACTTCTCTGGAATGACCTGTGATACGCTCAAGTCTACTGTCACGTGCTTGTTCTTCAAAAGCCTGAAAACAGTCAGGAGGAGATGTTGAAGTCTAGTTTTTTCTCAGACCACTTCAACTACAACCCAAAAGTTATTTGGGGATTTTTTTTGCCCAGTAACACCAATAGTAAACCACCTATCCCTGCTTTAACAGCAATACTGTCATTAAGGGTGTTGGTCCTTTTTAGCCCTCTAAACAGACTCAGAATGCTTTGCTCTTTGCCATTGTATTCAGCCCTCTAGATCACATCGGTCTGTATGGCTTGCAAGGACGTAGGACAAGGAGTAGTTTGGTCCAAGGAAAGAAAGCTACTGCTATTTGAAGGGCCTAGTACTACGGTTGTTACATCACAGTCAGACAGTGGCAGTGCCAACACTTGTGCGTCACCTTGCTAATTGGCTGAAGGCTCTAAATTTGTTTTCACCTTAAATCTTTGCCAGACACTAGAAGGCAGAGTAAGTGAGATCAAACACTTCAGTCCTGGTTCATGATGTAAGCCATGATAATGTAGGTTTTCATTTGGTTTGTCTTCAGTTGTTAGGAAAGTTTGTCCTTGAAGGATTGAGCTTTAGTGATACAAGGGAACTTAACCAGAAATTTTGTTCCTTTCTTCAACAGCAGGAGTCAGTGTTCAGACATGAATCACCCTGAGTATCGTCAACATACAGACTGATTTAAAGATCTGTATAACTGTCTGAGGTACATACCTTTCCCATACCCTCCTAATCCTGCTCAGGCTCATTGGAATTGAGAGTTTATCCCAGCATGCACTGAGGTAAATGCAGGGAATCAACTTTGGAAAGGTAGCTGGTCCAGAATGGACTTAACAACAGACAAAACAAACACGTTCAGGTATTTTCAACTCTTCAATCCATCTGAAATCCATGCAGACACTGGAGCTGCATGTGAAACTGAATCCAACCATATAAATGAACCCTATCAGCTGTCTCGGGCCTGGTCTTCTCTCTGCCAGACAATTAGAGCAGAAGTCTCATGTTTTCAGATCTAGATCAGGGTCAGGAAGTCAGAACTGTGACTATAAATTATTACAGAACACACTAAAATATTCATTAACATGTCTTTAATGAAAGACTAAATCAACCAAGGGACTAGAAGATTAAAACTGTGAATTTAAGCGAGTCTCCAAATCAATCCATCAGTCTTGTCTTTATTTGAATGCAGCTGATGTGATGCTGATGCAGTCTGACAGGTGTCAGCAAGCATCAGGTGTGGCCTTTTGGCTCCACTAAATGATTGTTGTGGTGTGAATGGGCCAAGCAGCAGTGTGTGTCGGATTCGTTTCATGTAATCTGTTAATCTGGGGGAGTGTCTCGTCTTAACCAAGGCCCCCTCTCGGTGCTAACCACGCCCAATCAGCTGTTTCCTCAAGTTCCCTCGAAGCTCACGGGAAGACTTTCCCCAGCTTCTGCCCACTCTCACGGTGAGCTGATGGTGGACCTTAGCGCGTTTTGTTTTTGGATCTAATCTCTGCGCTGTATGAATCCAGCAACAAGTGGTGTCAGCATGTCTCTGGCGGATCAGCAGCAGTGGTGTCCCACAAGCGTCCAGGTAACGGTGCAGCAAGCCAGAGGCCTCAGGACGAAGGGGAAAAGCGGCACCAACGATGCGTACGCACTCATGCAAGTGGGCAAGGAGAAGTTTCAGACGTCGGTGGTGGAGAAGTGCGTGGCGCCGGTGTGGAAGGAGGAGGCCGCTTTCGATCTGCCCGGAGGAGGAGGAGGTGGAGGAGGCACGGAGCGATGCGTGCTGCATGTCCACGTCCTGCACCGGGCCCTGGTGGGTCCAGACAAACTGCTGGGACAGGCTGTCATCAACCTGCTGCAGCTTAGTGAGGACAAAACCCGCAACAAGACCGAGTGAGTGCACACAGCAGGAATCTAAAGGCTCTTTAATGGGTAGAAATAATGTAAAAAGTTAGATGAACAGATGGATGGATTATATAAGGGCTGCAACCAGCCATTATTCTACTATCAATTAATTTAGTCCAGTATAGTTTATTGTTTTGCATAAAGAAAACACAAAAACAGGCAATAAATAAATGGATAATTAAATACAGTGCAGGGAGAAACTAAAAACCCAGAGGGCTTATGTGAAACCTCCACCTAATGAAATTTTCACAAAGCTGTTAAGAACTCAGAAGTTTAGAAAGATAAAGAACAATACAGAAAACCACTAACAGCAAAGTATGTTTGATTGCATCAGCAAAAAAACAGCAATAGCAGTATCCATTTAGGAGCAGAAAATGTGAGTATGTGATGTGTAAATCGATGTTAGTGTAATTTAGAGATTATTTTCTCAATTAATTGTGTATGTCAGCAAGTACACAAACTCTCTATTACAAGATCATTGGAAGTCCTTTAATGCCTTGTTTTGTTTGACCAACAGTGGCGCTCCCAGACATTTTTCATAGGGGTGGCCATGTGAGCCATTGAAAATCTTGGCACACAAGAACCAAAAGCCATAACTGAATGTTTGGATTTTGCTTATACTATTGAAGTGTATAGACTAGATGAAAAAACTATGTCAATGTAGAGAGTTAAGAAATTGCATACTGATATACTTTGGTTTCTTATTTTACAGGTGATAGACTAAACCTAATACTGTTAAGATGTTGAGATCCACAACAGTCCTGTTTTAATGTGTTCGTATCTACCCATGTAAGGCAACTCATTGATCATCAGATAGGCTGGTTGTCCTTGTCCCTATAAGGACAAACATACAGCTTAAGTTTGAAGAACACTGATTGTAAGGAACAAAAAAATTACTGGGAAAAACCTCCTCAAATTTAAGGGATACTCATGGGTACCCATAGAACTAATTATTAGGTTCTTGGGATGAACCCGGACGTTGTTCCCTCGCCGAACTGTAGCCTACCTTTTGGCGCGTTTAGCCCCCTTCCTGGCAAGCTATGCTGATATGGTTGGTACCAATGGATGCCTTAAGTTGTCTAGTTTCTACCACTACCTTTGTGCTTGCTTAAAAATGTGTACACCATAGCCTCTCAAAGACAGTAATAAAGCCTTCAGTTATTTTTACTGGGGTGACAATTGTATCAAGGGGGCCCCTCCTTGTAATATAACATTGATTATCAGGTGCAGTCTGCTTTTTCCACCATTTTAGTTAATTATTGGCACTGGTTTTGCTTTTGCTCCTTGAAAACACTTCTTATCTTCCATATCTGTATATTTTACCGATATTTAATACTCTTTTGTTTCTAAAACTGAACCCAGTGAGTGAGCCTGACTTGGGAAGCCACTTGTTATTCTGCTTGTTACTGGTTGTGAATGTTAAATTGTGGTTACTGCACTTACTGTAGTGTTACTGGTATCTGAAGCATTTTCTGGCACAAGAATTTCCTCAGGGATAAATAAAGCTCTATTGAATTGAATTGGGGGTGGGACTGTTGAGCAACTGTCCACAAACCAAAGATTTTTTTTGTTTATCATCACAGAAGACCCCAGAAAACCGGAAATAATCACATTTAAGCATCTGGAACCACTTGTGAGGAAGTCATCTAATCAATAAATCAACTAAGCCTTGAATTTAAAGAAATCATTATTTAGCTTTTCTCTTGGTGGGATAGCTTGGTGGTTCACAAGAAATCATCCTGTTGAAGTTTCTTTGAGCATCAAATTCATCCGCAGCTGACCCTGAAGACGGATGAGTCAAAGGAAAAAGTGTTGCTTATACAAAAAGCGTTTTTCTTCTTTAAAAATAACCCACATGAGTGTGTAAAACACTACTGTTTCTTTTAGGCTTTCAGTCCTCTGAGTACAGGATTGTGTGTTCTTTGCATACTGAATTATTTTTGGGCAGATGTTTCTCTTAGCTCTTAACTGCATGTAAATGAGGAAATCATAGGGGGTGAAATGAAGACTGAGCAACTTTGATTTTCATCTGCACCGCAGGGGAACAGTGCAGTCATACTGCAGCTTTATGGTCTGGCAGGACGAAACGCCTTAATCCCCATTTAATCCATAATGACAAACCAAGTTTTTAATAATGAAAATATGCAGCTTCTGTGGAAACTGTAGCTTAGTGTTGCTTTATGTATTTCCCTAAATTTGTGCCTTTGAAAAGACTCTCTGAAAGTGAGTTCCCTCTGTGATATTTGCACCTTTTTTTTTCCCACTGAGGTGAGGTATTTGAGCACACACAGCCATGCATCACTACACAGACCCGCTTTGGTGGGTTTGACTTATGAATGTTGCCCACTCGCTCCGGTGCAGCTTAAGGGATTTGCTCCCTGGGCAGCAGCCTTCAAGGATGCCAATCAGCATTACTTACTCAGGCGAAAGACGCGAGTCAAGAGGATTCACTTTCATTCACTGAACCCGTCAACAACAGACAGATTCCTCAGACTTCACCTTCACCTGTGCCAGAGGAAGCACATTTTTGTGAGGATGCTTAGATGAAACGTAAAACCTTTAGATTCTCATTACACTGCATTCACAGTGAGCACAGTAGTGACGTGATTAACCGCGGTGATCAGGTTTTACAGGCCTTGCTGGTACTGTATGGTCTCTGTAATAGCAATTATACTTGCTCCTTAAAGCAGAAAATATCCTCTTCAGTTGGTCGAACAAAAGCTAAAACATTTTGATTCATGATGTCCTAGTTGAAGTCTGAAACACAAGGCTCGTCAGCCGAGTCTGTAGTTCAGTAAGAATGGAAAATGTTTTGTTTGCTAAGCTGTTGCTGAGTGTTTCAAGCTCCCACTGTGTGACTGGTATTATACAAAAGCAGACTGCATACCAGCCTAATGCACAACCACGCACGTACGCACACTTCCTTCTCCCACCTTCCCCATAATTGTTTGTTGTTGTTAAGGTTTGTCTGCTCTGTTTGATGTCTTCTGTCGCTGCATGAATTTTTATGTAGTCCGTCGCAAGATTTGAGGTTCATTACTGCTTATGTATTGCTCCTAAAACAGTAGAGATTTGCCGTCTGCTCATTTTATGGTAAATCTTTCATAAAACAGAGCAGCAGCTAACTCACTTTAATGTTTTTTGTGACAGTCACTGTGAGAAATCTTTCAGATATGAGGGCATGAAGTGAGCTATGATTAAAATGCATTGGTCTCACACTTTTTCATACTGTTCTGCGTGCTTCGCTTCGGGTTTGGTTGGTGTCCAACTCCCTCAGCATGCTAAGCTGAACTTAACCTGGCTGTACGCTGCATGTTTAATCGTGCATGGTTTTGGATTTTGCACTGTGTGTACCTCTGATGACATCTGCTCTTTTTGGCAACGTGTCCTTTAAAAATCAGATTCTGGTTTCCCTTGACCACTGCTGCAAAAATTAGCATTTTTATACACGCATTTAGTTTTATGAGGATGTCTTTTTTTTTGTATAATCAGCAGGGACTTTTGCCGGTGTTGAGTAAATGCTCCACTTGTTTTCTGTTGATCTTTCTGTAGTCCTCTGTGAGCTGGGTGAGTGCACCTTGACTCTGAGGTTTAAATCCAGCTTGAGCCTCACATTCCTGACTGTTTTTATCTGTGCAAAGTAAACAGTGATGGCAACAGCGGTAGTCTAGCAAGGTCAGTTTTCTTTTAGCAAGACCACTGTGTCTGGACTGACCCCCGACATACAGGCACAGTCCACAACCTGCCAATACAACAGCTCTGTTTGAGGTGCACTGTGTTAGCTGAATTCCACCAAGTTTTACTCATTTTGAACACATATTGCTCGTTAAAGAAGGAACTACTGTTATTAACGTTTACACTCAACTGTCTGTAGAAACATTTAGACAGCACAGGTGGACATGAACAGAACATTCCTTTACAATCACATTTTATTGTTGGTACCTGTGCTTTTCTTACTGTGACAGGTCTTCTGTGATATCGTAACACCTACACCAGCTGACTGACATTCATTGTAGTGCCTCTGCTATAGAGTGCTGGAGGGATGACCTTTACCTTTGTGTAGGCCGACCTGGAAGTTAGTCACCCTTGTTCCCTCGACAAAAAGCCAGGGGTATATGAATTATGACAAACAGAAGTTTGATACGTAAACCTTTTGTTGAGCGAGATAATCTTCACAAATGAACACAGCTTGTATGATTTTTGAAGCGTAAATGCAATTGCCAGAAGTAAAAAGCTAAAATTAAGCTATGGACGAACTACACTAGGGTTGCATGACTTCAACATTGTCACCACAACGGGGCTGGAAAACCGTGCTCGGCATAATGACATTCTGTACTTCAGCCACTTGTCAGCTAACCGCCTCTTTAAAGACATATAAAAGTATCAATATTCACGAGACATATTTTATGTCGTAGAATGAAATGTGAAAACCTCTTAAGCTTGTGTTAACCACAGGTTTTATTTCAGCCATCAAACAAAAAACACATTGACTTTGAGACAAGGGTACTGGTAGTGCAAAGATGATAACTCATTTCCACATTTTAGGACTCATTTCTGCAGCACTCTATCACCAAAATCTGCGGTCAGGCCTGAGAGCACCTGCGCTGTGAACCCTGGATACCAAAAAATAGGCCCCCTGTTGTCAAAACAAACATTCATACCTCCTATAGAGGCATTAAGGATATTAAGAAATCTGCAGTAAGGTCATTCTCAAGTACAGCTTTCATCCAGCATTTTGTCATTTCAAACAGCTTTACTGTAAGCACGATGTATGGTGATTGGTTTTGGCTGGAAAGGGATTTTCGTTTGCACAGGCCTTCATTTTGGCTCTTCTGAATCCTGGATGTGGGCTGGAACAAAGAGTCCTGGACAGTCTTGGTCTTTGGTCATTATCACTGTCGAGTCTACTCACACAGCTGTGCTCCGTGATAAGAAAGGCTCGAGCCTAGCATTGTCTTATCAGTCGTTCAGGCTCCACAAGGAAGGATGTGTGTGTGCAGAAAGTCGAATACATTTACAGAATGTTGAGTCATGCATTGTGCTCCTGTGGCTCTGTCTGTGCAGCAAAGCAGAACACTTTCCATCCTTCACAGAGGGGTGTGAGATTACTGAGTTTAAGCAAGGGCATCTTTATTATCACCCAGGCGCTGATAAGTGAAAGCTGCTTTTAATTCCTCCTCCTGCACACCGCTTACTACCCCAACCAGCTAACGCCCAAACACTTTCGCAACTTCCCTTCTGTTTAAACTGAACTAGCTTACAACTTCTCTTTTTTATTCCATGTAGGATGCATCACTGTCAGTGGCACGTGTCAAGCACGATAGTTGTTCAAAACTCAGGGCTGTGAATATACTGTACATTTCAGTATAATAAAAAATATTGTACAGCATACAGTGTTATTATTGTTCAGTATCTTAGTTCACCCCCAAAATCAAAAGTAAAATTCTTCCTCTTATCTGTAGTGCTACTTATCGATCGAGATTGTTTTGGTGTCAGTTGTAGAGTGTTGGAGATAACAGCTGTAGAGATGTCTGCTTTCCCTCAAATACAATATAACTAGATGGCACTGGTCTTGTGGTGCTTAAAGTGCCCAAAAAATACATTTGAAAAACTCATCAGCAAAGTCTCTTTCCAGAAATCATAACCCAGTTACTCAAGAGAATCTTACAGAACAGTTTTCTTTATTCTCTTCTTCTTTCTTCTAGCACCACTGAGGTAGCTAATGTTACAGCTCAGCCATTTAGTATTTACATCTTGCTCGGGAGCCTCTTATACACGAGTAGATGCACGTTTCCTTCTGCGCAGGGATGTAGTTGGTGGGTGTAGTTTGGTAGAAAGAAAATAGTTCCTTAATAAAACTGCTCACAGCACAGTCTGTGGATTATCTTGAGGAACCGTGTCGTGATTTCTGAAAAGAGACATTGCTGTTGAATTTTTCAAATGTGTTTTTTTATTTATTTATTTTTTGGCATTTTTGAGCACCACAAAGGAGTGTCATCTACTTCCATTATATTGGAGAGAAGGCACACATCTTTATGGCTGATATCTCCGAAACATTTCAATACACACCAAACCATCTACATTGATATACACCGATCAGCCAAAACATTTAAACCACTGACAGTAAATAACTTTGATTATTTTGCTGGGAAACCTTTGGTTCTGGCATTCATGTGGATACCACCTGACATGTTCCACCCACTCAAACACTGTTGCAGGCCAAGTACCCCCGCCCCCATGGCAACAGTACTCTCCAATGGCAGTGGCCCCCCAGCAGAAAAAAGCAGCATGCCAAACTACAAAAATTGTTTAGAAATGGCCTGTGGAGCAAGACAAAAAGCTCAAGGTGTCAACCTGGCTGCTAAATTCCACAGGTCCCAATCTGCTCAAGGATTCTTGTGATGTGCCCGTACCCCAGATGTAACCCTAATCCAAGGTGGGGCCTCCTTGGATCGGACTTGGCTCTGACCTGTCGAGGCATGGACACAGGATCTCTGGGAGTTTCCTGTGGTGTCTGGCACCAGTGCGTTGGCAGCCGATCCATTTAGTCCAGTGGGTTGTGAGGTGGGTTAATGGCATGTGCCACAGATGCTCACTCAGATTGGGATCTGGGGATTTTGGAGGCCAGGTTGACACTTTGAGGTCTTTGTCACATTCCTTAGGCCATTCCTGAGTGATGTTTGCAGTGTGGCATGGTGCATTATCCTGCTGGGGGGCCACTGCCATTGGGGAGTACTGTAACAGTGTTTGAGTGGGTGGAACATGTCAGGTGGTATCAACATGAATGCCAGAACCAAAGGTTATCCAGCAGAACAATGCATTGGAACAAAATAATCAAAGTTATTCACTTCACCTGTCAGTGGTTTTAATGTTTTGGCTCATCGGTGTATAGCACTACAGGTAAGAGGAAAAATATGTGTTTTTGATTTTGGGCTGAACTGTCCCTTTAAAATCATGTCAAGCCCTTCCATACTAAAGCCTGCTATGTTGTGAGCCATCAGCCAGCCTTCTCTAAACTATCATTTGTATTGTTTGGCCGTTGTAATAGGGAGAATAATTGTATGACTGCTCTGACAATGAGTGTATTCCAAAGGATGATGCGATGCTACAGAGGGACGGGATGAAATATTGTTTTTATAACTTTGTCCCACACATCCCTGTGTCACTATGCATGGGAGCAAGAACATAACAGCTACACAACACTGTCTCATTTGCATGAAAAATAACTGCAATATCGATCTAGCACTGTTTTATTGAAGGACGTTCATCAGGCGAAACGTGAAGGCTCACAGAGGAATTCTTATGAACTTAGGGCCTTAGATTTGCAGATCACATCCCATTACTCATCTGCAGTAGGGGGCAGGGGAGTTGTAACAGCAGTCTCGCCCGTTTAACTTTCAGGAAAAGACGTTTTCCTCCCTAATTTGTTTGTGCAACACATCTGAAGCATTGCTGAGGGAAGAGGAGGAGGAGGAGGGTGAACGTTAACGTCTTATCTGACTCCGTACCACCGAGAGGAAGACACTGTTGGGTCTGTATTATATGCAGCTCAGGGAGAGGTGTTAGGTTAACATGAAGGGGGGAAATACTGTTTATGGCACAAAAACACAAAACATGATTTAGACGATCACAAAATTGCATGTTGCTTTTTCAGTTTTTAAAAACATTTTTGACCACATATATTCATTGAGAAGATAACTTTCATGTTTCACATTGCAAGAACAGGCAGTTTATGATGTTGCCATAACACAGAATTGTGCGCTTGGCCCACACACACACACGCAAAAATGCACCCACGGCCCCTTCCTCATTTCCTCATTTCCCCAGGAATCCAGATTTCAGTTGGAGTTGTTTGTTCAGTGGTGAGCTGGCCTCAGATTTCTGCCTGATAGGCACTTTTTATGCTGACTGCTCCTTTTTGCTGTTCTGTTGAAGTATTCTGCTTATTCTGAGACCCTTCTGTCAGAGTTGGACCATGACGCAGGTGCAGACATTGCAACAGCTGGTCTCAGTGGCCATCTTACTGAGTTGGTTTAGACTTTTCTACATGTTATCCCAGGACTTAACGTTTAGGTTGCAACTTTGAAGTTGTAACCAGTGTTTATGTAGGGTATCTTGGCTTTCATCTTGGTATTTCACTGTCAAGCTTCATCTAGATGTGGTGGTTACAGGATGATGATGAGTCAGTTTCCTGTGAACCCGACCAGTTTAGGCTTTGTGAGGACTAATCTAGTTTGATAACAACTCTCTCCTTCAGGGTCAGATGTCTGGGAACATGCAGTACTGTATATGATAAAATCAATTGTGATACCTCTCCAAGGCATAGTGGGTCACAAGCTATCAGAGAGCCTGCTCAGTATAATCTATGCTACATGTCTGATCTGAACAAGTACTTTTTATTAGGATTTTAATCATGCGATGCATCGCAGGAAAAGGGAACAACTATCATTTTTTGGTGCAAAACAGTACACACAGTACAAGCATTCATAACTTCCCCACATTGGAGGCTGCCGCAGGCAGAAGAGGACTTTTTTCCTTCATGGTTGGTTTGCTGGTTGTGGTTAGATCCTCACAGACTTTCCAAAAACATTGAAGTCACTGCTGAGTCATTCTCCATTTGCTACGGGATGGGTCATAGTTTCCAAGAAAAGGCAGACGAGGACTTAACATCAACATAATGTACATGAATCTCAATCTGTTTACTGTAAGCCATTCAGTAGACAGCCAATAATAGTCTGTAGGGGCAGTATGCCCCATTAATACAACTCTCCTCTCTGTGACACCTTGTTATAGCAGTTATTGAGTGGAACATTAGATTTAAAAGTTAGCAAAGTGATATAAGCACAGGCTTTTTGGAGAGTTTCATCATTGAACTCTCTGACCTTCAGCTTTTCCTGTATTCATTCAATCTCACAAGCTCTTAATGTGTCATTTTTTAGCAGCATAGGCAGCTGTTTTTGGCTATAAAGCTCCTAAAAAAACACATTACACTACCTGTTAGCAGCTATAAGTCAAGGTTTTTCTCTCAGGAGTTGGTAGAGACCAAAACCAGAGCTACAAGAGAATGAATACTGGACTAGGATTCACCAGGTGCACACAAGCTCAACCTGAAATGAATGACATTGTTGCTTTGTTGTTGCAGTTATTGTATGGAGCATTAGATTTAAAAGTTAGCACATGCTTTTTGGAGAGTTTCATCATTGAATTCTCTGACCTTTAACTTTTCCTTTATTTGTTCAATCTCACAAGCTCTCATAGTGTCATTTTCATCAGCAGCAGGCAGCTGTTTTCAGCCAAAAAAGCTCCAGAAACCCACATTACACCACCTGCCAGCAGCTTAAAAGCCAGATTTTTCTCTCAGGAGTTGGTAGAGACCAAAAACAGAGCTACAAGAGAGTGAATACTGGACTAGGATTCAACAGGTGCACACAAACTCAACTCGAAATTAATGATAATATTGCTTTGTATCTGCTCGATTTGTAAAAGTTTGCCATATCAACATAAAGTGTGATTATGTCTCATTTCCACTGCCCCCAAGTGGCCAAAAATCAGTTATTGCAGGTCCAAGGATGTTTTTAACCTTGGATGACATCCCGGATAATACATAGAATGTGTTCTATAGTTTTGAAATAATGTTTGCACAATTAATCAGACATTTGGGGATTATGTATCTGTGAATATGCATTCAAAAATGTTTTTCTAATAAGGCTCCTCTCTTTAACAGATGGTTCAAGTTGCTGGACAAGACTGGCAAGGCAGATAAAGACAGAGGAGAGGTGCTTGTGAACATCCAGTTCATGAGAAACAATATGACGGCCAGCATGTTCGACCTCTCCGCTGCCGGCAAATCCAGATCTCGCCTGGGCAAGTTCAAGGACAAAGTTCGTGGCAAGAAAAAGGAATCGGACACCGCGTCCAACATGGTGCCGTCCTTAACTCAGGTTCTAACAGACAGCGAGGGGGAGGAGAACGGGGACGGTGAGGTCGCTGAGGGCAAGGATGAAAAAAAGAAGAAACATAAAATGAAGTCTTTGTTTTCTCCCAAGTCTAACCTGCAGAAGAACATGTCCCAGTCCATGTCTGTTCTGCCTGCGAAGAACTCCTCACTTAGCGGCAGCCAGTCGTCTGGTCTCAATGTGGATTCCTCTGAAGGTTTATTTTATGACCATTATTTCATTTATTTTCTCTAGTCCTCTGTGTTTTAAATGCATGTTAACTATCTCATGTCCTTCCAGGTAAAAAGAAGTTCAAGTTCAAGATACATAAACGCTCAGGCAGCTCAGGCAACAAGGATTCCCCCTCTGGTCACCAAAAACAGGGCACTGTGGAGCAGAGTAACCTGTGCATCAATGGCAGTCATGTATACTGTGAAGAGCCGCTGCCTCGGACCTCTCGCATCGGCTCAAACTTCAGTATTGCCAGTTCAGGCCACGGATCCATGGAGGAGGTCCCTGAAAGCTCTCCTCCATCTGTTGATTCACTAAGGGGGGTGAGGCAATATTCACCATGGACAGAGGAGGAGGAGGAGGAGGAAAATATAAAAGAGGATGTGGGTGAACTAAGAGGGGAGGAAGAGGAAACGATTATGATGGAGGAGGAGAGGAGGAGAAAAGAAGAGGAAGAGGAGAGGGCTAAGAGACAAGAGGAAGAGCTTGCAGAGGAGAAGAGGAGACAAGAGGAGAAAGTTAGAAAGGAGGAAGAGGAAAGGATTAGAATGGAAGAGGAAGAGAGAGCTCTGGAGGAGAAGAGGAGACAAGAGGAAAAGGAGAGGGTTAGGATAGAAGAATTAGAGCGTGAAAGATTAACTGAGGAAAAGAGGAGACAAGAGGAACAAGAAAGAAGGAGAATTGAGGAAGAAGAGAGGGCACAGGAAGAGAGGAGGAGACAGGAGGAACAAGAAAGGAGGAGAATTGAGGAAGAAGAGAGGGCACAGGAAGAGAGGAGGAGACAAGAGGAAGAGGAAAGGCTAAGGAGGGAAGAGGAAGAGCGTGAAAGATTAAGAGAGGAAAAGAGAAAACAAGAGGAGCAAGAAAAAAGGAGAATTGAAGAAGTAAAAAGGCAGAGAGAGGAAGAAGAGAGGGCACAGGAGGAGAGGAGGAGACAAGAGGAAGATGAGAGGCTAAGGAGGGAAGAGGAAGAACGTGAAAGATTAAGAGAGGAAAAGAAAAGACTCGAGGAACAAGAAAGAAGGAGAATTGAGGAAGAAAAAATGCAAAGAGAGGAAGAAGAGAGGGCACAGGAGGAGATGAGGAGACAAGAGGAAGAGGAGAGGCTAAGGAGGGAAGAGGAAGAGCATGAGAGATTGGAGAAGGAAAAGAGGAGACTAGAGGAACAAGAAAGAAGGATTGAAGAAGAGAGAATTAGAAAGGAGGAAGAGGAGAGGGCTGAGGAAGAGAAGAGGAGGAGACATGAGGAAGAGGAGATGGTGAGGAGGCTTGAGTTAAAGAGGAGGCTTGAGGAACAAGAAAAGAGGCAAAGGGAGGAAGAGGAAAGGATTAGGATGGAGGAGGAAAGGGCACAGGAAGAGAGGAGGAGACAAGAGGAAGAAGAGCTTAAATTAGCAAAAGAAAAGAGGAGACAAGAGGAAGAAAAAAGAAGGAAGGAGGAGGAGAAAAGGGCTGAGGAAGAGAAGAGGAGGCGAGAAGAAGAGATGATGAGAAGACAAGAAGAGGAGCGTGAGGAAAAGAGGAGGCTTGAGGAACAAGAAAGGAGGAGAAGGGAGGAAGAGGAAAGGATGAAAAAAGAGGAGGAGGAGAGGGCGAGGAGGGAAAAGGAAGAGTTTGAGAGATTGGTAGAGGAAAAGAGGAAGCAAGAAGAGGAAGAAAGAAAAAGGATTGAGGCAGAAGAAAAGACTAGAAGGGAGGAAGAGGAAAGGATAAGGCTAGAGGAAGAGAGGAGGAGAAAAGAAGAGGAAGAGCATGAGAGGTTAGCAGAAGAAAAGAGGAAGCTAGAAGAACAAGAAAGAAGGAGAGTTGAGGAAGAAGAAAAAAGACGAAGGGAGGAGGAGGAAAGAATTAGGAAAGAGGAGGAGAGGAGACAAGAGGAGGAGGAGAGGGCTAGGAAGGAAAAGGAAGAACATGAGAGACTGGTAGAAGAAAAAAAGAGACAAGACGAACAGGAACGGAAGAGAATGGAGGAAGAGGAGAGGATCAGGAGGGAGAAGGAAGCTGAAAAGGAGAAGAGAGAAGAGGAGGCCAGGAAGCTGGAGAAGGAGAAGTCGGCAAAAGATGCAGAACAGAAGAAGAAGGAAAATAAAACCAAACCCAAAGCTCCAGGGAGGAAACCTAACGTGGCTGAGAGGAGCCCTGCAGGAGTCACCTCTACTAACCCGTTTGATGAAGACTTCTCAGATCCTTCTGAGGAGATTCTTGACTCACCTGATGGACCTGACAGCAGCACAGCCAAAGTGTCAACTGCTCAACAAAGGTTAGTCCAAGCAATCTTATACTACAGACATGTCCACTGTCTGGTCCAGGGGCCAATCACAGCTCATAGACTGATTTTAAATGGTCTATATTGGTTAATCCTCTTTTTATTTATCTGTTTGGTGAAACACTTTACATTGTTTCCGTTCTCCTCACAATGGCAGGGCTATCATACAGTTTGTGGACATGCATCAAGTAGGTACTACGTATGTTTCCTCATGAAAAGACAGCAAATAAGCAGTTAACCTAACAGCAGATATTTCCTGTTAGACAGCAGACATGGCAACAGCAAAGAAGCGTAAAGTCGACAGCAAGGGCCATAGGATTTTCCCATAGAGTGGAGGAAAGTTGAATAGTTTTAGACTGAAAGATGAAGCCGTGGAGTTTTCTCATTTGTATGTTTTTTTGTTTTTTTTTTTAATAACCCATATGATATGAGAAGCAGCTGGCCTCCAGGTATGTTCACATTTTCTAATCTGGCCCCCATTCCTAAATGTTTGTAAATCAAAGACACTGTGATAGATACAGTATGTTTAACTCCAAAAATAACTTAACAGTGTGTTTACAGTAGGGCTGCAACTAACGATTATTTTCATTGTCGACTAATCTGTCGATTATTTCTTCGATTAGTCGACTAATCATTTTATCGAAAAATGTGTTAAAATGTTGAAAAATATCGTTCCGTCTCTCCCAAACCTCAAAATTATGTCATCTAATGTCTTGTTTCGTACTCACGCCAAAGGGTTTTAGTTCACCATCATGGCAGAGTGTGTAAAGCTGCCAATATTTGAACGTATAGAAGCTGCTATAAGAGTATTTTGGGCTACTTTTATAGTACTTTTCTATGAAAAATGACTCAAACCGATTAGTCAACTACTAAAATAGTCACCGATTATTTTAATTGTCGATTAGTCATCGATTAGTTGACTAATCGTTGCAGTACTAGTTTACAGGTCCTTAAAAAGTCTTAAATTGTCTTAAATTCAGATTTGATGGATCTTAAAAGTCTTTGGTCACACTGCAAACAGGAAAAGAATCCAGGCACTCCAAACAAAAATGAGAATGAGGAAGGAAAGATTAGATTAAAAAGCCTTTAATATAATGGCCAACTCATTAAAAAGCCAACATGTTTCGACCACTGTTGGTCTTCATCAGGGCTGGAGAAATCTTCGGTCACACTATCGCAAAAATTTCTCCAGCCTGAGAGACCCAATGACTGTTAACAATCATTGGACAGACCGAAGAATTGCAATAATAAATAGCATTTATGACAGTGATGAGATTTTGTTTTCTCTTTACATTAAACACATTAAACTTACTTTAATGTAACTAAACTTTAAACTAAAACTAAACCTTAATGTTCATTTTGAACTGACATTATTGTCTTTACAGACATTATTGTCTGCACTGACCCATGTGTGTCACACACACGTAAATGTATAATGTGCATTTTCATTGCAGGCCTGGTCTTAAATTTCATATAAGGTGGTATAAAAAAGGTATACAATATCTGAAATTTGATTTGTATCTGTAGACACCCTGTATAAGAAACAAGTAAACAAAAAACAACAACCCTTATTGTTTTGTTGCATATAAATAGTATAAATAAAACAAAATTAACAGAACAGAGCGCCAAAGGAGGTAGTGAAACAACCTGATGAATGCATGATGAAACATGATATGAAGTCAGAGTCATTTACATCTAAAAAAAGCGTTATCTGAATGTGTCTTCTGTTTTTCAGTCTGTCACAACACAGCAACAGTTCTCTTTGAACGCAACCTTAAGCTGACACCTTCATGAAAGTTGCATAGCTTTGCTCTTGTACGTTTGTGAGGAGCGTGCAGACACATGGATGTTTCATGTGTCAGCTGAGATTGGGAACCCATTGTACTGTCTTACCTCATTAGAGTGGGTGTCATATGATCAGGGAGTGAAATGACTTGAAGCACTTAGTTTGAGTTTGGCAGTGAAGGTGGATGGTAATTTCTTTCATCTCTCAGGTTGAGATTTTCTTTACATTAGCTATATTCAAAGCATTTGTTCTTTTTCTTTTATTAATGAAAACTACAACGATAAGTGGATCCAAAGAAAATTAATCACCAGCTATTTTGATATTTAATTGTTTATTCAGTTTTCAAGCAAAAATGTCAAACATTTGCAGGTTCTAGCTTTTTAAATGTGAGATTTTGCTGCTTTTTTTGTCATTCATGATAGCAAACAAATACTCAAAGGGTTTTGGGAAATTGTGATGGGTTTTTTCACAATGTTTTGACAGTTTATAGACTAAACAATCAGTCAGTTAATCATGAAAATAATCAGCAAATTAATTGATAATGAAAATAATCATTAATGCAGCCCTAAAATCAATCTTACTACATTATAATCCCTTTACTATGCACTGCTTTTTCAAATGAAGATTCTGTTGTCCTTTGTTTTCTTATTTTGCAACAGAAGGTTCTAAGATTTTAATATCTTTAATCTCCTTCACATCATCCTAGAAAAGTATTATTTTGTTTTCCTCATGAGACTCTTTTCAATTAAACGCTTAACTATGCTCAAATGTCAAGTTGTCTGTGTCTCATTTCCAGGATTCAATCTGCTGCATCATCCGTGAGGAGCAATCCTGTTTCCACTGATGAAAAAGATCCCATCAGCACTCAACGAGAGAAGCGACCGGCTCCTCGGCCTCCAGGAAGTAATCAAGCAGAGAGACAGAGTCAGAGGGAACAGGACGCATCTACACGCCATCTGGCACAAATTAACAAGCAGAGTAAAGACAAAGACGTCAAAACTGTCAGTGTTCTCCCTCAGCGCCTAGTGCAAATGATCGCCCCTCTGAGTAGGTCTCCCACAGATGCAAAGAACACCCAGAGCTTGACGCAAAGTAGCACCACCAGGGGAACATCAAATGCAGCCAAACACAATAAACGCCCTGCGCCGTCTAGACCGCGCTCTGCGGAAGAAGAGCCACCATCTGAACATAAAACAGCCCCGTCCTCTGATGGCAACATTTCCAATAAATGTGCCTCAGAGGCAAAACAAGCCCCGATTGTTTATGGCTTGAATCCATTTGAAGATGACGAGGATGAAAATGCAGCCCTAGATGATACAACAAGCTCTGGTAATACTGCTTCAGTACAATGGCTCCCAGCTGTGTCACAAGCTGCTGATAAAGATGCAGCCTCTCATGCTAAAATCAAATCCTCAAAGACCCGTGCTCCCCCAGTTCCTGCACTGAAAGCTGCAACGTTGAGCACTTCAGTCGGACAAAACACTGACGGAGGCAATGTTACAGATGAAACAGGTGTGACTGAACCTGATAGCCGTTCACATGACCCTGAGACTGTAAATCCTACATCTGACCAGGATGCTTCACCACAAGAGTCCCAGCCTGCGACGGTGCAGAGTGCTGGAGAGGACGCAGGTGGGAAGAAGGAAGGACCTCCTGTAGCATCACGCAGGTGAGACAGTTAGCTCCTCAGCAGGATATTTATGCAACTCAGATCACACACTGCTGGCTCCCAACATGATGCCTTTCATAAAAAGTAAAAATATTCACTACATTGCCAGGGCACCTATAAATACTGTACAGTTATTGCTTCTTTTTATTCACTCACCTCTCCACTTTCAACATGCTTCCTGCCTATCATCTGTTCCTGCCGAGTTACACATACAATCAGTGATTCCCAAAAAATACTTCCATGGGGCTTGCCTCACAGCTAGAGGGCTCCGGGTTTGAACCCGCTGTCCAACTGGGGCCCTTCTATATGGAGTTTGCATGTACTTTCCGTGTCAGAATGGGTTTTCCCAGGGTTCTCCGACTTCTTTCCACAGTCCAATGACATGCAAGTTAGGGTAACTGGTGATTGCTCGTAGGTGTGACTGTGAGCATGAATGGTTGTCTTACCATTGTTGACATACTGTAATATGTTGAAAAATAACCCCAACTGAACAATATCCCTTTGGCCAGCTAATTTGAAGACATTTGCAAAATGATACCAATATTCCAACATGATCTCACTATGAAGATTTGTAATATTAGTTAAGTTAATATAGCTTTGTCTGAAGACAACACTTACACTGTCATGAAATAAAAAAAATTCATGACCTCCGTCTTCTGTAATTTGGGGATTTGGACTTTTTTCTAATGTTTAGCTTGCTAGCTGTTAGAATTGGTTTGAATGAGCAAAACCAATCAATCAATCAATCAATTTTATTTATAAAGCCCAATATCACAAATCACAATTTGCCTCACAGGGCTTTACATGACCGTTCACATGAGAAGAAAGAGGAGAAGGGAAGTTTTCTGTCTAGTCCTAGTGTGTGAAAGTACTCCAAGCTTGGGTCCTCTACCAGAGGCCTGGGAGTCGCAGTATCTTAGCTGTTCCTAGGACTGCACTCTTTAGGACAGCGACCTCAGATGTTGTACCTGGACTCTGCTGGAGCCACTCTCCCAGTTTGGGGGTCACAGCCCCGAGTGCTGCGATTACCACTGGCACCACTGTTGCCTTTACTCCCCACATCTTTTCTAGCTCCTCTTTCAGCCCTTGGTGTTTTTCAAGCTTGTCATGTTCCTTCTTCCTGTCGTGTGGGATTGCTACATCTATCCCCACTGCCTTCTTCTGTTGTTTGTCGATCAACACGATGTGCGGTTGGTTAGATGTCACCAGTTTGTCAGTCTGGATCTGGAAGTCCCACAAGATCTTAATCTGGTCAGCACCTGGATAGCTCTACTGACTACGACTACTGACTTTGACGTGGAAGAGTGGTGTTCGTTTCCGGTCAGGACAGGACCTGGACCCTTAGGCAAGGTTCTTAATGCAGCTAGCCTGCCTTGGCATGAGTAAAACCACGGACACAAGAGTCATACCGGCTCAAACGTCGCCCAGGGCAACAAGTTCTGTGTTGAGGGACCAGGGCAACCTGATCAGAAAGGGGCTACTGAGAAAAAAAAAAAAAAAAAAGATGGACTAGAGCAGAGACAATGTTAGTTTTCAGACTGCAAAACATGGAGGGGTCGAATACGGCCATCTGAAAAAGTTAAGGGGACGTGTCACCCCTGCACGTCACACACTTCTAATGTAGAGTCCTCTCTGATTCATCCTTTCATTTATAATTTATACCCACTCATCTTTCACCTTTGCTTGTATTATTAATTGTGTTGTATCTGATAGGGGTGGTGTGGATGAATGAGCTTGCAGTGATAATAAAACTACCATAGTCTGTTTGACTAGTGATTGCAAAATACTAAAGGTTACTCTTTCATTGTTTAGACAAATGATGCAGCATCATAACTGAGTCATACTCAGCATTTCACTTCCCGTCTAGCAGGTGCCTTTATCTTTTTGTCTCTCTCTTTTTTTTTGTCTTTGCAGGCTTCAACCTGTAAAACCGCTTAATCCTTTGGAGCAGCGATCTGTTTCAGCCGTTCAAGGGGAAAAAGAGAACAAATCCACAGAAATCCTTTGTGAAGTTCAGGAGAAAACAAAGGTAACTTTTTTTTTAGCCAAAGCATTTATGCTGATTTTCTATCTCTAAATTATTCAGGGAAGGTTTCTGTGTTGATATGTAAATGCTTGTCTGTCTGGTTCATCAAACAGCATCAACATTCAAATCATCCATTAATGGTGTTGTGTCAATTTGTGTTCTTAGTCTACATAAACATTGTCTCCATGTTTTCTGCACTCTCACAGGTAAATGGCACTGAGCTGAAAGGGCCCTTCTCCCAGCTGACTCAGGAGGAACTCATCTCCCTGGTGATCAAACAGGAAACGCAGCTCGCAGACAGAGACAAGAAGATATCGGATCTGGAGCAGTACATCGACAACCTGCTTGTGCGTGTCATGGAAGAGAACCCGACTATTCTCATGTCCCTGAACGCTATGAAGTAAGCTGCCCAGGTGGATTCACAGCTGACACTTTATTCCCTCTGCACCTAATCAGTTCAGACCCAGTAATCTGACAAGGCCACAACAGAAACTTTAAAACACAGTGGATTATATCATGAAAGATAACTGGAGTAAAAGTTTACAAGGTTGAAACGGTTTATATTTCCCAAGATTGAATAAATAATGATGAAGATTTAAATATATTGTGTACAGTTAGTCTTGCAGAAGCTGCTGCGGTTTCAGCTGAGAGCTGTACATTACTTGCAATCAAAGATGTTAATGATTACAAAGAAATTCTACATTTTTCTAAAAGATGATTAGCAATATTTTTGACACTTGTGTGATGTTGAAACAACCTGTTCTGTGTATTTGTTATTTTCATATTGAGCATAAAATTATTTCCAGAAATTGCTTTGATACAAATGCTGCCAACGTGACAGACTTAATTACTGTATTTGATGGCTAACAGGCTGCTTACTGTACCCTGGAGATATCTCTGTTATGAAGAATGAAGTATGAGGAAGAGCCATGTTTTTCTGTCAAACTATGCACTAGTTACGGAGATGATGTTTCTTGCTCTTATACTGAATGACAAGGTTTACATGATTGTACTAACCCCCAAAAGGCACTTTACGCAGCTTATACTAACGTGATGTACACTGAATTACTGTCCTGTACAATATGCAAAATAAATACATTTCTTTCTTGTTCTGATAAACTGAAGTTTTGCCTTTCTTTGTCAGTAAAGTCTCACTGTAGTTTTGTAAAGAAAATATTTAGAGTTAATATCGTGTGCGATTTGGGATTCCCTATTTTCTACATTTTTCACTCTGGTAGGTGTCCTGTTTTAAACTTTTATAGTTCCTAATATCTACATAATTAATTATTAATGAACAGCTTCCTGTATTTACTAACTTAGGGACTGTTCTTAACTTACCCAAGGATGGGGTGTGACTTTGTGTTTTTTTTTTTTTTTTAGCCTATCCCAGCGGTGTCAAACTCATTTTAGTTCATGGGCCATATACAGCCAAATTTGATCTTTGATGGGCCAGACCAGTAAAACCATTGCACAATTTATTTTTGTGTAAAGAATTACATTCTGTAGACGTTCATCCTTTTACAAAATAAACAAACAGCCTGAGATATCTTAAGAAACAAGTGCAATTTCAACAGTATGCCTCAGCTTTTCCTCATTCAGTCAGTCTACTTCTCACTGTCATTACATGTGCATTTATCCAGACATTTCCTGATACAGATTCTCTTGAACTGAAGCTGCTGATTAACAATATTTTGCACAATGCTCAATATCTTTAAACATGGTCACAGTAAGAATTCATTGTTACATCAGAGAGCTGTATTCTGGTCAGGGTGGAAAAGCCTCTAAAGCTGAATTTGTCATGAAGTAGGCAATGCATTTTTTAACCTGCTCCTGAAACCTGCCACTTCTTAGTCTAGTCATCTAGCCCAGGGGCTGTATGTTTGACACCCCTGCTCGACCTGGAGTTGCAGATATTTTTCCTTGAGTGACGGGAGGAAAATGCATGACCATCTCTCCACTATAAATTAGTTACGACATTTTATGAACTTACCCTTTGATGTTTCAAAGTTAAAAGTTGAATATGAAATCCTGTTGTTGAAAAGGCCTTGTTTTTCACTCTTGTCGTTCATGCTCTTTAGTCCATTAATTAAAACAGTTTATTTTTTGGCTGAATTTAAAACAAGATATGGAATAAAGTTATTTTGATGAAATATCACTAGTTTGAGCTGACATATCGTTTTAATATTCCAAAATATAATGGGGTTTTTTCATAATACGTTGTATAGTGTGAAAATCCAATGATAGTTTCTGGTTTTACAGTTTCTGGCTATGATACATTGTGTGATTTTGTCGATGTTTAAAGAAAACATGCCTTCCAAACCCACTGGTGGGCTCTGGGGTTCAGAGGGTATTAAAGATGAATACAGAATACTGCCATTTAAAGTTGTATGTCCTTCCCCTAAGCCAAAATAAAAAAAATAAACTCCTTGGTGCTTAAATTATCTGACATGCCTCTCCCTTTTTGCACCAACCCCTCCCCCCTCATAAATCATGAACAGTCCAAAAGCAGTAAGGTTGTCTACAAGATACATATTTACAGTACGATATGATATGATAAGATATGATACGATACAATATACTTTATTGCTGATGAAAGGGGAATTTGTCTTGGACTCAGGAGTTGCACAAGTATTGCTGCCTTACAATAAGGGTCCAGAGGACATGAAGCATACACCTTTAAAACATACAAAACATAACAGTATTGCACATCAGCCATTCATGTATTTCACACAACAGAGCACCATAAGCAAAGCACAGCACAACCCCTAATGTATCAAGCGCCATTATTTAAAATGGCGTCAAAATGGCTTAGAAGTTTCTTTATTGAGGTTGACACAAATCATTTTTAGTGTATTGTGGGTTAAATGTGAAAGTTATAGGTTTATTTACAGCGAGGATAGCGAGAGAAATTGTGTGTACGCTCCTTTATGTTTATGTCTTGACCAAGCGGAACCATCGACTTCCCCAGTATTTGTACCTACCCGGACATGTTTTACTCGCCCCCGTTAGACCGGCTACAAAAACGTTCATTGGTCGTTCAGCAGCTGTTTACATCCTCGCCATGCTTATGTTGGGACCACCAGTGTGCTGCAGGTGTTCAGACTAACACTTGTGTGATATTATTAACCTGTATTTGTCTCGTCGCTGTCCGCACGCGCCCGCAGTTTATTTGGAAGATGTCTCGTGCGGGTTTGAGCTGCCCGGGCTGCGGCTCCTCCAACATAGTGGACGATGATCTGTACTGCCAGGCCCAGCTGGTGTGTATGGACTGCGGCTCTGTGGTGTCTGAGGGAGTCCTGGCCACCGATGAGTACGTCGGGTGTTCAGGTACGAACAGAGAGGAGACGGACACCTCAAAAATAGGCTACTAAAGATACTCTCTCAGTTTTATAATGTTATCACAGGTCAACAACTGTACTTCCTAAAATAGGGTGACCGGAAGTCCCCATTTTCCGTGGACAGTCCCCAGTTTTGGTGGCCAATATTCGTCACTTTTCACATTGCATGCCACACGTCAATTTTCTCACGCAGAGAAAAACAAATTTGTAGCTGATCATTAGGCTTAACTGCACATGCGCACATGCCAATACATGTATAAATTCTGTGGTCATTTAACAACAGTCTGGTGCTGGTTGCACAAAATGTAACCAGAAGATCTGCCGTGCATCATTAGTGCGCAACATCATGGAACAGATACCTGCAGCTTTCCGATGGCTGTAAAGGAGAAGTCTTCACTACAGTACTACTAACTCATGGCATGCACAGCTCGCAGGGTGTCTGCAGGTCCTTTACAAGTCTTAAATCGCCTTAAATTTATAAATATTGGGCCTCAAATGTCACTAAATAGTCTATTATAATATTTGAATCGTCAGGTCTTAATTTCCACAAAGATTTTATTTTTACATCTTATAATTTCTTTTTGTTAAAATGAGTCAAACGGTGTGAAAGTCCACATTTTAACAACATATAAACTGCCATGCAGCATTACAAAAGAAAAACAGTCAAATAAAAAGCACATACTCATGTACACTTATGCACAGGTGCTCACATATACAGAGATACCTATATACATACAGAACCTTTCAGGCAGGGGTGTCCAAACCTTTTTTGAATGCAGGCCAGCTGCTTCTTGCATCATGTGGGTTATTAAAGTTTCATTTTTCTATGAAAATGTGTTCAACTTTCCACCACTCCTAAAAGCAGAGGCCTCACTGTTGACTTCTTACTGTGGTCATTTCTGCTATCTAACAGGAAATGTCTGCTGTCAGTTAACCGTTCTGTTTTCTTGTTTACTCTCTAATTACGAAAACACATTAGTTCTGCCTGCGTAGTTCCCACTACGGCTTATGATAGGCCTGTCGTTGTGAGGTGAACTGAAAAAATGCAAAGCGATCTTGCATGATTAACCTTTATTGTGTGGTGGGTCACATTTAGTATATTTTGAAAGTCAAGCCAAGAGCCGTTTAAAATTGGTCTGAGGGCCACAATTGGCCCCCAGGCCAGACTTTGGACATGCTTGCTTTAAGGGAACTGGAAGTTACACAAGATAAAGACACAATCAGGACCTATCCTATTATGATCAGCTACAGCAAGATGTAAAAAAATAAGTAAATGTGACTTATTTCACGTGGAGTTATCATTAAAGTTAGGGTTCAGAGTCTAGCTTTTATATATTCCATAATTGGATTCCAGATTCTTCTAAATTTATAAGAAGAGCCAGATAATGGGAATTGTAGTTTCTAAAGTTTGAGATGTTGCTTAATGTCACCAACCAGTCCAGCTCGGTGGATGAGGGTTCTAAAGTCCACATTTCTGATGTTACACATCTTTAAACCGAGCATGGTACCTTATACTGTCTTTTTACTTCATACTTTCACTAAGCTGTTGGTAAAATATACATTAATCCAACTCATTCCGATAACTATATTTTAACATAAAACCTACCTCTGCACAGGACCACAGTTTTACTTACCTGCAATGTTTGAATACAATTAAATAATAAAATAAAAATTCTCTTGCAAAGTTCTTAAAAAGCATTAAGTGTTAGTGTGATACCTGTAGACACCCTGTGATGCCTAGCTGGTATTATTGCCATAACCACTGGTTGAGAAAGCATGTGGCAAAATAAAGTTATTGTTGCTGTCACAACAATGAACTAAATTAAGGATGTTTTCAATTTTTTAAGTGAATTCATGGTGATTAATCAGCATCATTTAGGCTGTGATGTCTGGAGGTTGGCAAGTATGCTGATGAAGGATTCAAGGACTTATTATTGTCATTATACGATACAAGACTGCATAATGAAACGAAGCTGTAGTTTCCTCCACGCCACACACACAGAAAAAGAATAAGAATATATTCATAATATGTAAAATAGAATAGAATATAAACAATAAAATAGGCATGTTAGTAGAATAAACTATATAAAAGTAGCTCTATAGGAAGAACTAAAAATTGTATTTCATTTTATCGTTTGGCCTTCACCATAGTTTCTGTTTAGGGATGCACGATATTGGTTTCCTTGGTCAAATGAAACCCTAATTGTCTTTCTTTTTATTCATAAGCAATAACATTGGGTGTTATAATGATATATTAACTGCCAAACTGGCAATGTCCTTGGTTTTTATTTCCAAAATCTAATTACCTTACCCTAAAAACAAAGCAGTAGGCCCCCCGATACTGTTTACATACAACCAGTTTTCCCTTGAAGACACCAGTCTTTGAGTTTTCATGTTTTGTTTGTGGTGCTGACATTAGGCTACTTAATAGGATATTTTAAATCCAGGAGCATCTAGTCTTGTCACTGCAGAACTTGATGAATTGCACATGTCTTCGCTTATAACGACAAAGTTCAAAATTTACACTCGACCTCCACTGATGCCATTAATAATAAAATAATACATTTTTCTATGTAGCGCCTTTTAAAACACAGTTACAAAATGCTTCACAATAAAACCAGAACACATATAAAAACATGTACAGAGAATGAAATTCTAGGATCTCTCACTGCAAAGGCTTTATCACCTTTTTGAATTTATCTGTATCTGGGAGTGACAAGGAGCGACACATCTGAGGATCTCAGGGTGCAAGAAGGGATGTAGGGCAATAACAGGTCAGATAAGAAACTTGGAGCGAGGTCCCTTGGGGCTTTGTGAGTAATTGATAGTATCTTAAAATCTATTCTAAAAGCAAGCATGGAGAAAAACTGGGGAAAAGAATATCTGAGGACACCTTGGATGACACTTTATATACAGATATATATCTAAAATACTAAGCAGTATAGCCACTAAATGCCAGATGACACAGAACACCAGCCCCTCTCCTAATAGGACACGCTTTGTTTCATAATGTCTGACTATATGATTATTAATGAGGAACTCTCGGCCATTGTACTTCAGTCACTGTATGTGCTGTTTTTAGCAGGACTACTATCAGCCTAGGAGGAGTAGTTAGTAGTAGTAGTGTTACCCTTATAGTAGCTAATGGGGATCCAAATCAGTAACTTAATAAAATAGCCGGTCCAACGGTGAATTTTTGACATTGGTACCAATATCTGGGAGTTTTAAAAATCCAATAATAGCCTCTCATACCGCTCTTTCTCTCCCCCATTTCCTGTCTTCCTTTACACTGTGGCAAGAATTCTACAATATTAAAGTAGGGGAAAAATCTGTACCTAAATCGGCAATATTTTATTTATTTATTTCTTTTAACATACATAGATAATAATGACTCTTGACATATACCTCTTAGAGGTATTTTGTTGTTGTTTTTTATTGTGACCAATAGCCTATACATACTGAACAGGGCACTTTACAGGTGGAAAAATCAACTTCTTAGTGCCCTCTGGTGGACATACTGTGTAATGGCAGCACTGTTTCTGAATGATCTCAGGCGTAGTTTGGCATCTCTGTAGACCGATATATCTGCAATATGATAAAACTGGCTGATTAATCTAGCTCTACTATTACTTAATCCAGTCTTAATGGTTTTTATGCTATTGCCAAAACACTGATCATTTTATCCTCATTTTATCCCCTTGGAATGTATCAAGGTCTGTTGCTTATTGCCTCATAACAGCCAAAGAAGACTTTACAGCAACACTAGACAACACCAGAGCTACCTACAGTGGAGCGTTGGCTTTATGACATATTGGGTACACTCCTCCTTGCAAGAATCAGGTTCGCTCTGAAGGACAACAATGAGAATTTTAAAAAAATATGACCCCACCCCTGCATTACTTTTCTATAAGAAGTCTATGTAAGTTAAAACTTTTGATCTTCATCAGACAACTCTTAGAGGATCGTTTGGGGTTTTGTTTATGTCAGACTGAACTCTCTTCACTGCATTCACTGTGTTTTTGAGGGTTCATCACATTCTGTATTCTGTTGTACTGGTTTTATTTTGTGGGGTGATGACACACAGCTGTACCAACTGCGTGCGAATGATAGCAGAGCATTAATTAGAATACACTCTCCAAAAATTATCAGTGTGTCCTTCAAAAAACAACACCCTTGTTACTCCACTGCATAATCCACAGACCTCACCATGAACATTCTTTTTAATAAATTAATTTTTTAAATGTTATTTTTCCAATACAGTGAGCTCCATAAACAAACCCCATTCACTTTCATTATACTGGAGTGAATGCAGACATTATAGAGACAGATATCTGCAAACCTTGCCAAATAAATCTGAAACTGTCTGCATGGTCAGACACCATTAGAGGTGAGGGAGAATTTTTGTGAGGTCCACTACCATGATATTTTGCTTTGACTCTGTGTGCTTTCTTACAGATGTCAGCTACAGCCGAACCACAGCTGTGACCAAAAAGCCGTGTATGAACCTGAAAAAAGGTGAGGTCTTCTCCATGTGGAGCTTTGGCTTGTTAGAGACACTGTGACACAGGAGCTCTCCTTGCTGGTCTCACATACTCATCTAACTTTGTTCCACCTCTGCAGGTCTGCAGCGCGTGAAAGCCTTATGTCAGATTCTCCGGGTCAAGGGTGAGATCGAGGAGCTCTCGCAGATGTATTACAAGCAGGCTTATGAGCATGAAAGTTTCATCAAAGTGAGCCTCCAGAAGAAAGAAGTTCTCGCTGGTTGCTGTGTGCTCGTGAGCTGCAGGCTGTCGAACTGGCCAATAACCATAGGAACCATCAGCTACCTGGTGGATGACAACCAGCAGATGGTGGGAGCGGTTTTCCACGAGATGGTCAAGATTCTCAACATCGAAGTCCCAAACATCAGCATCACAGACGTGATCGAGGCCCACAGTCAGGAGTAAGTGATAGACGATGATCGTAATGGTCCTGCTTGAGGGGGGCGCTTGAATAAACAGGCCATTTAAAAAGACTTCGTTTTTTACATTGTAGAATAGCAACTAACTAACTAACTAACTAACTATTATTTTTATGTCACTAGTCACTTGAAACAAATTTAGGACGATAGGAGACAGGTTGAAATAAACCGAAATTTCCCTTTAAATTAAATATAATTAGTTCTGTAATTACTAAAAATGTTGTTTCTTTCTGTCAGGTACAAAATTAGCTCATCCGATGTTCCTGAAGTATTGGCTGAGAACTTCAAGGACTTGACCAAACGTGCTGTGGCCCTGGTGGAGCTGGCAGCAGACTCCTGGATTGTGACTGGCCGTACACCGACCCCCATCATGATGGCAGCAATTTATCTGTCCTGGCAGTCCTTGAAACCCAACAAGCACCGGCTCAATGTCTCTCTGGACAAATTCTGTCAGATTGCCAAAGTGAAAAGGCTCCCTCCTGCTTCAAAGAGAATAACTGAGATGAAGGAGATGTTGTGTAAGCTGGGAAAGGAGATTCCTTGGGTCAGGGAAGAGGTGACGCCACACAATGTTGTTCAGCAGCTGGAGGATATTCTAAAGTACCGGTCTACCCTGCTAAGGAGGGCTCTGAGAACCCATGAGGATGCTCTGCTGGCAGAGTGTCAGGACAGCTGCGAGGACTCTCTAACTGAGGAGACTGCTCCCTCCCAAGAGCAGAATCCACATGCATCCTGCGTGGAACAACTTGAACTGAATGCTGAAAGGGCCCAGCGACCAGGAGGTGGAGATGATAATCCACGCACAATGCCTGAGCTGCATAGAGACTCTCAGGAGGGCCAAGATCCAGCACCAAACTGGGGAAAGAGAGTGCTGTTTGCTCCCCCGTGTGTGGTTCATGCTAAGAAAAGACGAGTGGAGCAGCCAAAGCTCAAGGATGTAACCGGTGATGAGGAAATCTCTGACAGTGAAATTGACTCTTACATTCGCACTCCTCGGGAAGCTCGAGATTTTGCTTTGATGCAGAAGATATATGAGATTGAGAAATCATGACCTGAATATTCTAATAAGGATGCAGGTGTTTTAATTAATTAATAATTTCTAGACTCAGTTGATAATAAGAGATTCTACAACCTATTTTATGTCTGTGCTGCTTATACATGGTTCACTTTCAAATCACATGGTGTTGAAGTGGGTAATTAAAATGAGGAATGTGGACACACCACATGTGTAGTCAGTGGAAAAATGCAATGTGAGGAACTCCACTTCAACTATAAAATGCTTTACTTTTGAAGGAAACATGAGAATGAATGTGTTTGCACATCACATATGAAAGTGCCTGAAATAAAAGCATTTACCTTTTTACAGTATGTGATGGGGTTTTTTTTATTGTAGTTTTGCAGAGTAGACCTAATTTGCTTTGCACTTTTCTCAACTTAAAAACAGCAACACGCTGACATCACACAATTACCGAGAGTTTAAAACCACATTTTGTTCATTAAATATCAACTCTACAATTCAAAATGCAAAAATATAAAATAAATAAAAATTCTGCACTAACTGTTCAGTTTCTTTTCATTGTAAACGGCTGTACAGTTTTGGGTTGACTGTTGAATATGTATATTTTTGGCAGCAGAATATGTAAGAGGGAATGAGTCATCTTCATAGAATGTGACCTACAGTAGAGCAAATAGTTTACACATTTGCTGCAGTAAAAGCTAATTAGCAACATGAAATTGCTGCCAGTGATCTACAAATAATCTAACGTATGTCGCCTTTGGTTCCAAATTTGTGAAAATAAAATGCACAGATACAATATTAAAGGCACAAAGAAGAGAAAAACACAAACACACTTCTTTGAGTTGTTTCGTATCCACATTAAAAAATTAATCTTACCATATAATTATGAGAAGTTAAACATTTTTCTGACTGAGATTGGATTTAGCTGTAGTTGGTCTTTCTTCAACAGCTTCAGTAAGCTATTTCTCAATGTTTCAATAATCTATTCATCAAAAATGCTCATTAGCTTCAATTTCTCTTTTGAGCTGCTGATGTTGTAAAAGTAGGGCTTTTTGTTTGTCTGTTTTGACCATTACTTTTCATTTCTGGCAGGCTGTGAGCAAACATTTGTAAATTGTGGATTAAGTATGGCGCCGAAAACCATGAAAAAAAAGTCATAGTATAGTGTGTTGTCATGAACCATGAAAAAATGTCATAGTATAGTATGTCGTCCAAAATCATGAAAAAAATGTCATAGTATGGTATGTCTTCCAAAACCATGAAAAAATGTCATAGTATGGTTATGTCGTCCAAAATCATGAAAAAAAGTCATAGGATAGTATGTCGTCCAAAACCATGGAAAAAAGTCATAGTATAGTATGTCGTCCAAAACCATGAAAAAAGTCATAGTATAGTATGTCATCCAAAACCATGAAAAAATGTCATAGTATAGTATGTCGTCCAAAACCATGAAAAAAGTCATAGTAAAGTATGTCGTCCAAAACCATGAAAAAAGTCATAGTATAGTATGTCATCCAAAACCATGAAAAAATGTCATAGTATAGTATGTCGTCCATAATCATGAAAAAAGTCATAGTATAGTATGTCGTCCAAAACCATGAAAAAATGTCATAGTATAATATGTCGTCCATAATCATGAAAAAATGTCATAGTATAGTATGTCGTCCAAAACCATGAAAAAAAAGTCATAGTATAGTATGTCGGCAAAAACCATGAAAAAATGTCATAGTATAGCATGTCGTCCATAATCATGAAAAAAGTCATAGTATAGTATGTCGTCCAAAACCATGAAAAAAAGTCATAGCATAGTATGTCGTCCAAAACCATGAAAAAAAGTCATAGTATAGTATGTTGTCCAAAATCATGAAAAAATGTCATAGTATAGTATGTCGTCCGAAACCATGAAAAAAAGTCATGGTATAGTATGTCGTCCAAAATCATGAAAAAATGTCATAGTATAGTATGTCGTCCTAAACCATGAAAAAATGTCATAGTATAGTATGTCGTCCAAAATCATGAAAAAATGTCATAGTATAGTATGTCGTCCAAAACCATGAAAAAAAGTCATAGTATAGTATGTCGTCCAAAATCATGAAAAAATGTCATAGTATGGTATGTCTTCCAAAACCATGAAAAAAAGTCATAGTATAGTATGTCGTTCAAAATCATAAAAAAATGTCATAGTATAGTATGTCGTCAAAAACCACGAAAAAAAGTCATAGTATAGTATGTCGTCCAAACCATGAAAAAAAGTCATAGTATAGTATGTCGTCAAAAACCATGAAAAATGTCATAGAATAGTATGTCGTCCAAAATCATGAGAAAAAGTTATAGTATAGTATGTCGTCCATAATCATGAAAAATGTCATAGTATAGCATGTCGTCCAAAATCATAAAAAAATGTCATAGTATGGTGTGTCGTCCAAAACCACGAAAAAAAGTCATAGGATATTATGTCGTCCAAAATCATGAGAAAAAGTCATAGTATAGTATGTCGTCCATAATCATGAAAAATGTCATAGTATAGCATGTCGTCCAAAATCATAAAAAAATGTCATAGTATGGTGTGTCGTCCAAAACCACGAAAAAAAGTCATAGGATATTATGTCGTCCAAAATCATGAGAAAAAGTCATAGTATAGTATGTCGTCCATAATCATGAAAAATGTCATAGTATAGCATGTCGTCCAAAATCATAAAAAAATGTCATAGTATGGTGTGTCGTCCAAAACCACGAAAAAAAGTCATAGGATATTATGTCGTCCAAAATCATGAGAAAAAGTCATAGTATAGTATGTCGTCCATAATCATGAAAAATGTCATAGTATAGCATGTCGTCCAAAATCATAAAAAAATGTCATAGTATGGTGTGTCGTCCAAAACCACGAAAAAAAGTCATAGGATATTATGTCGTCCAAAACCATGAAAAAATGTCATAGTATAGTATGTCGTCCAAAACCATGAAAAAAAGTCATGGTATAGTATGTCGTCCAAAATCATGAAAAAATGTCATAGTATAGTATGTCGTCCAAAATCATGAAAAAATGTCATAGTATAGTATGTCGTCCAAAACCATGAAAAAAAAGTCATAGTATAGTATGTCGTCCAAAATCATGAAAAAATGTCATAGTATAGTATGTCGTCCAAAACCATGAAAAAAAAGTCATAGCATAGTATGTCTTCCAAAACCATGAAAAAATGTCATAGTATAGTATGTCGTCCAAAATCATGAAAAAAATGTCATAGTATGGTATGTCTTCCAAAACCATGAAAAAAAGTCATAGTATAGTATGTCGTCCAAAACCACGAAAAAAAAGTCATAGTATATTATGTCGTCCAAAACCACGGAAAAAAGTCATAGTATATTATGTCGTCCAAAACCACGAAAAAAAGTCATAGTATATTATGTCGTCCAAACCATGAAAAAAAGTCATAGTATAGTATGTCGTCAAAAACCATGAAAAATGTCATAGTATAGTATGTCGTCCAAAACCATGAAAAAAAGTCATAGTATAGTATGTCGTCCAAAACCACGAAAAAAAGTCATAGTATAGTATGTCATCGAAAACAGTGAAAAAACATCAGTCATAGTAAAACTGCTATCGGCTCGCTAACGTTTTAATGATCTATTCACTTAGAAAACAGCAGAAGGTCACAATGACCGAAAGCTTGCATTAAACTGATATATGCACAATGTTTCAGTGTGCAGCTGCTGTTTTGTTGTTTTCTGAGGCTCTAAGTTCAGCTCCAGCACTTCTTTAAGTGTTTTGCCTACGTATGAGCGGTGGCTTTTTTCACAATGATCTGTTCACTCAAAAATGCTCATCAGCTTTTTCAGTTTGGCTTTTGAGTTGCTTTCACACGGAAGTAAAGATTTTTTGTAGTATTTTGAACATCACATTTTCATTTCTGGCAAGCTGTGAGCAAGCATTTGCAAATAAGACAAGTAAGATCCAGAATTTTGGTAGTGCTTAAGCTGGTGTTAATGGTATGATCCAGAACAGACAGATGTTGTGTTAATTGTGTTTGGAGTTTTAGAAATGTTACTACAGATTTGGGGAAAAAAAATCTGTTTAACTTGCCTTTTTTCACAGAGGGCATTGGGACATGTCAGAGTGAGGACAGCACAGATGTAAAAAATTAAATTACACATGGCTGAGTTCCATTTAGCTGCTTCAAGTTCCTCTGTCACATCTTACTGAGACACTTGAATAGAGCAGAGCCATTGTTAATGTTAATCGTAACACCTCTGTTCCTCCTGCTATGACAAATCAAGACGGTAGGTAAAAAGTCTATTATGCTAAGCCTCCATTGAAGCTGTCATTATGTTCATTGAATATCTACTTACCAACTAGCAGTTTCATAACACCTAAAAAGTTTATAACATTACTCCTCCATGAGAACATTCAATGAAAATGCCAGCATGACAGTCTGAATATTAGCTGTGACTAATCATGCTGTTAAAATATATCTTTTCAGTGAAAAAAAAAACCTTTCACTGCCAGAGTCTGTGACGTAAATGTCAAAGTATTCAAAGAAAAAGGCAATTACGGAGTGCTTAATTGACACCAACCCCTCCTGGCATTTATTAAGTTTGATATTTAATTGAGCGCATAGCTGTTTTGGAATATGATCTTGGACACTAGATCATGACGTTATGTTACCAACTGTGGTGCACAAAATGTCCAAAACAAAAAACGGTGGTGCAGTGGTTGGCATTGTCGACTCACAGCAAGAGGGTTCCTTGTTCAAACCCTGGGGTGGGGTGCCCCTCCATGTGGAGTTTTTTCTCCCTGTGTCAGCGTGGGTTTTCTCTGGGTACTCCGGCTTCCTCCCACAGTCCAAAGACATGCAGGTTAATTGGTGACTCTAAATGGTCCATAGGTGTGAATGTGAGTGTGAATGGTTGTCTGTCTCTATGTGTCTGCCCTGTGATAGTCTGGTGACCTGTCAAGGGTGTACCCTGCCTCTCGGCCTATGTCAGCTGGGATAGGCTCCAGCACACCCATGACCCCCAACAGGATAAGCGGTTATAGAAAATGAATGGGCTTATTTCACAGCATGAATAACTGTACAATTAACATTCAACTTCAACGTTCAACTGCAGGAAATTTACATCATTGTTGGCAAGCACCCAGCATGCTGAAACAATAAATTCTCACATTGTCTTATTGTCCTAAACAGGTTTAGCTGATATGCATAAAACACTTCTATCCTCCCTGTTATTTAATTAGTATATTCAGCGGGCAAATGCACCCTGACCAAGTTGGGTGTAATATTTCATCATGCAGTCACATTGATCTAAAGCAGAGAGGTCATTCGATCTCTGTATCTTTATTCACAATTCTCCA